AGGCAGTATGACCTCTGAAACGTTGGTTAACATCGACCAGACTACACAGCGCAACAACCCAGAAGACAGAAATCTTCATACTCTGATGACGGAGGCAGTATGACCTCTGAAACTTTGGCAAACATCGACCAGACTACACAGCGCAACAACCCAGAAGACAGAAATCTTGATTATTAGTTAGTTGAAGTTGACCTTCTTCCCAGACGTTGCACCATGATATCTGGTACAAACTGACTGACGTTTCAGAGGTGCTTACTACTCCATCATCAGTCAATTCCTACCAGACTACATGGCACAACACCCCAGAAGACAGTGATCTTCATAGCTGTCACTGTTAGAACCTGAACTCTCACCAATTAGTTCAGAACAAGACTAAAGTGACGGTATGTAAAAACTGAAAGAAAATTGTTACAAGGAACACGGGCAAATTCAAATAAATCCTTACCAGTGACATATTCCTTCAAACCAGGTGTAGGCACTACCACTTGCCTATACATGGCAGGAGTACTTTCTATCACATTCTGATCATGGCGATATTTTTGTGAGCGCCTGCTTGTGTCAGCATGACGAACAATGTCTGGTCTTTGCGCATTTATCTCATCATAGACAGCCTGTGAACAGTTTTATACGGCAAAGAACCATCTTCAGGTGTATAAAATTATATAAACTTAAATATAATTTCTTAAATGCAACTTTTAGTCAGATGTTTATCAGATTTCAAATGATGTTTTCTTCTAGATTTATTGTATTTTTAATATCGTATTCGAAGTTGTTCTGTATATGTACGTCGTGCTTAACATGATTTTGTGTGGGTGAATGTTTTGTTGTTGTTTTTGTATCATCCAGAAATGAAGTTGTGGAGGAGTTACGTCTATCTGGAAGTATTGCCGTGTTTGTTGGCTAAATATATGCTTTCATTCTTGCGACTTAATTACGATTCAAGCACACCATAGCAATTGAAATTACTTCCTACAAAACTACCAAAATATTCTCAGTATAAACTCTGCATTTTCATGGTTTCAAAGAAAAAAACTGATACTGCTGTGTCACCTGAAATTAATGCACAGTTTAAATCAATATAAAGGTAAAAAGTGAAGACCATGTGAAAATTGCAATACTGTAAACGCAAATGTCATACGTATTAATACACGTTTTAATATATTGAGACTCCTGATTATTTGGGTTGGTTGGGAAATACAGTTTCCCAAATAACTGAAACCCTGCAAATCTGCAAAACTTAAAGAAAAATATGCAAATGTAACAAATATGTAAGTTGATTTACAGACAAACACTACTTAAATTTTTAAATATTTACTAATAACAAAAAGGATTTTATATAAAATTTAAAAAAGTGTATACAAAGTATTTTTTTAAAAAAGGATTCCAATGGACAGTAATAATTGTCTACTGTCATAAACTTCAGGTTTCAGCAACAATTTATTTGTGTTAACGATAGTTGTGGGTTATCGGGACACATCGCTTTAAAAATAGGTTAGGTTAGGTTAGGTTAGTTGTCATTTATTGAAATAAAATATAATAACTTTCAAGTATATGTCATTTATCCACACACATTAACCTAACCTAGCCTAACCTAACCTACTTTTTAAGCGAAGTGTCCCGATAACCCACAAGTACCATGTAAACACTTTAAATAGTATGTCACTGTTATATTAATTCCCTTCTTTTAAATATTCTAACGTTTACAACAAATTTTCTAAATTTGTTTTTAGTTTACTTACAAACCAGACAGAACCTGGTTAATCCACCCCAAGACAATTGGAAGTCTACTGACCTGTTTATTAAACAGGGCCAAATTCTTCTCAAAATCAAAATCTTGATCTATGATATTGTCTATCGGTGTCCCAAAACATGCTTCGTCTTTCTCCGACCACCTCTGGCGAAATCTGTCCTTCTTGCTTGGTGTGCGGTTTACATCACATGCTACAAACAAACAACTTAAAAAAATGTCATAAAATGAAAAGAGTACTGGTATTAAAGAACTTAGCAAACACATTACTGTACTAACAAAAATTATAACTTTCATTTATTTGTTTCAAGTCTGATAGCAATAGCCTTTGAGTGAAGTTATGTTACTCTTCATAAAATATTAGTGAGATGATCAAATGAAGGAGGGTGGGATGGGCAGGACATGTAGCATGCATGGAGAGATTATAAATGTGTGCAAAACTTTGGTTGGAAAGCCTGAAGGGTGAAGACCAGTTAGAAGGCCTAAGCACAAATGGGAGAATAACATTAAAATGGATCTTAGGGGAATTTGAATGAAGGGTGAGAATTGGAGTCATCTGGCTCAGGATAAGTACTGGCGACAGGAGCTCAAGAACATGGTAATGAATCTTCAGTTTCCATAAGAGGCAGGAAATTTATTGACTAGATGAGTACACTATTAGCTTTTCATGGAGTTAGTTAGAATGAGGTATTTATGTTACAAAAAACCATATAAAGTAGAGGTTATGGTAAACAATCTGAAACACAGATCTTCTGTTAAATAATTTCTTAGTAACAGATCAATGCACATACCACAATGTTTTATTTAATGTATGATTTCTGAGGGATATTTTGTTGCACCGTACAAAGGTCTCCGAATATATCAACATACATTATAATGATACAGACCATTGGGTGTATGTACGCCACAGTCTTCTGCAGATTTACGTGGAGAATCTCTCATTTGAGTCCCTTTAATGGAAGCCAAACTTTCACTAACAGAACGGCCAGCACGCTTAGGAACTGGCTTTTTTACGGCTACTGTACTGGAAGATGGTCCAGTTACCAACGCATCTGAAGCTGCTTCAATTATGGAAAGATTATTTATATCTGAACCTCTGAAACAGATAAGAAATCCAATGAGTTCGCATAGAGAGTTTCTACAGGCTTTGAAATAATACATGCACTTACAAAGTACAGGAAATAAATTTGGTAGCTGAGTTATTGCACAGTCTTTATGCTAAGGGTGATCACTGTTTGGCTGTTGCAAGTCAGCTGCAGTGATAAACTGGCTTTAGACCCCTGTGCAATATTCACAAACCATAATTTTTAGTCCCTGGAGTCAAAATAGTGGGGCAAGTCAGTGAAATTGTGTGCTAAACTTAATGGCTCTGCACAGGAGCTTTTAGTATTCTTACGCCTACCTAAGTTTAACTTCTGGAAGATGGTAAGGTATTCCATTTTTAAATGCCTTTTTTAATGTTATGGTCTGTTCCTCTCGATCTACACTAGAAATCTGTCCCTGATACGAGCCCAAATCATTTCGACACGTAACAGAGACTGTATAACCAACGTACTGTTCCACCATATCCTTCGAGTAATTTAATAATTCAGGTTTTCGATACACTTTGCAATGACGAAACTAGATTCTAGGTTCAAACTAATGAGCCGATCCCAAACACTACCCTTTCACCACAGAAAGTCTTCGTCTTGTGCTAAGCGCAGATGTCAACACGCGTACGTCATTATTGTTGCTGATAGATTGGTAACCTGCGTTGCAAGGGAAATTATAATATCGAAATCCAAAACAGCCACACTGAAGCTATGTGCTGCCACCTTCAAACTGGGGACGACACGTTTTCGGCGACGTTAGCTCAATCGAAAATAACAGCTTTATAACTCCTCTCAAATTTTGCTCACAACACACCAATGTTGAGCCTCTGATATTGCAGATCTCAGTAAAAGTAAAGTAAAGCTGTCCCACTACACGCCATGTAGGCGTTTGGGGGGAGTGGAGGTACAGCTCTCTTTCTTGACCTCGGCACTAGATGGGGGTGAGGTGGTCAGCATCACGCCCCAGCCGTGCTTTACCCCTGGGAAAGGACACCAGTACCCATTGGACAGGAGGCTGGGTGGGATCCAGAGGCGGTCTGGACGCAGAGGCTAGAGGAAAAATCCTCTGTCCCCGTCGGGGATCGAACCCCAGTCGTCAAGCCCGCAGCTAGTCACTGTACTGACTGAGCTATCCCGGCTCATATCGCAGATCTCAGTACTCTTATAAAAGTGAATACTTCAACGCACCTGAACTAGTGTAATCAGTACCTTATAAAAATAAAAGATTCAACAGCAAAATGTGCTTAGTGTACACAAGTTACATCCACAGATAATTATAATTGTTGACAGCGGATGATACAGAAAAGTTGAATCAAGTATGTTTGTTCACAGACAATTGTATTTCAACTTGTATTTACTGTTTACCACTTTCAGTTGAACCTAGATAAGAATTGTTTTATATTCATTTTGCACAAATTCAGTGTTTATTGCTTACCTTGATGGATGTTCTCACCAATATTAATATCAAGTAAAAGCTCATATCTATACCAGAGTGCAGTTATTATAATAACATTCAAAGTAATGACTGTAATGTAGGAAGCTTCTTCGTTGAGAACATTTACCTGCCAAACAGATAAGCCACTTAAAGTAAAAATAGCTTAGGACTTATTTATTTAGTGTTCTGTCTGATGACAGGTCCATATGAACAGGATCCTTCCATCCTTTTCTCGGACTGGGACCTGTTCATATACGTTCTTGGCAGATGATCCAGAAGTGGTTTGCCATTGCCTTCTTCTGTGTGTGAATGGAGTAATTGTTGGGATGCCACGGAGGAAAACTCCGTGTTGCCTAGACCACGGCCTTGCCCAACACAAGTTATAAATTCGGGCACCGCTGGGAATATCTTGTCACTTTGCATTTTGTCGCCTCTTCTAACTTCATCATCCATACTTTACCCACATTCCAGCTAGATGTGTATCACAATAGCATATGCTAAAATCCTGAAGTCCAGCCAGTACCATGATAGTACAGCGGGTTTAAATCTGCTATTCCTATTTAAAGCAGGTTGTGCGTATGTCTTTATTATATAAAACATTCTTAAACTGATGTGACATGACATGCTATAAAAATACTAACTGGAGAATGCAGACATAATGTTTGTAACAAAATATGCAATAAAGTTTGCTATGATAAATATGGGACAATGGGTATTACAGATCTATATTTTCTCAGAAAAAAATCACCAAAAAAGGCAGCTAATAAACAATTATCAAAGTACTAAAAGCAAAATACATGCATTCATTCATCTGAAACCTCAAAGATTGTCCCTACAGATTAATTATAATCTAAAAGAAGACAAGTTTCCCTACTTGATATCCTTGTTAAAACAAACTTTACAATGTAGACTTTCCTCAAAAAGTACATGGTTATCTTCTGCTTTGTGACACCCTGTGGATACAAGTGGTTTGGAAAAACACACAGTAAAGGTGGAGGCAGTACGTTCCTCTGACATGCTCATACCCACCTATAAGTTCACAGGGCATCACAAACTAGATCACCATGAACATATTCACTGCCATTAAGACCTCAGTTCTCATTCCTTGAAAAGTTAAAGTACCTCAACTGCGCAAGAAATTCTGTCTTTATGCAACTTAAATTTTCATATGCATAGATTTTCAATGTGACCCCATTCCTTGTGGTTCTTCTCCTATAAGGCTCTCCGGTACGTATTCAGTCCATGGCGTCCTCAATTCTCCTCTTCCATTCAGTCCTATTCTCTGCTGCCTTCTTACAATTTCTAATCCTCAGGAGCAGTGTGGCATCCGTTTGAACTGCATCCTCCCATCTGTTCCTGGGTCTTCCAACTGGTCTTCTTCTTCCAATACTTCCTTTGAATGCCATCTTTGGAATTTGGATGTCGTCCATCCGAATCAGGTGACCTGCCCATTGTAGTCTCTTGATTTTTATAAATCATTCCTTGTGGTTTTCTGACAAAAATCATGAATGCAGGTCTCATATTTCTGATATATACTACATGTCCTGCCCATCTTATCCTCTTTAATTTAATTACCTTTGGAATCTTATGTGAAGCTCCTCATTATGTAACTTTCTCCAGCCACCTGTTACTTTTTCTTTCTTATGTTCAAATGTTCTCCTAACTACGTTTTCAAAGGGGAAGCTAGGTGTTACATTTGTTAACATTCTGGAGGTAGGTTACAATAAAAATAAATTCCACAATTGTAAGGGAAGAACATAAAAAATACAATGTTATATAATGCAGTAATTTAATGCTGAACCCTCAAGGCACAGCAGGGCTTCCACATAGTGACAGAGTAGTTGAAAGTGATGGGCTGGCACGTTGCCTTCCTCTCTCATGCGGATTGGGTCAAAGTTTGTGTACAACAAAATATGATCTAACACATTTGATTGTGTTACAGCTATGAATATGAAAGTCTGGTTAAAAAAACCTAAAAAGGTGCTTAAAAATAATAAGCTTATGTGGTAAAATGTGTCCATTCTCTTCAATTACATTAATGTCAGCAATGACAGCGACTCCTCCATTTCCGCCTCAGAAGCAAATTACAACGCAGACATTGGTGTTGAGGTAAAAACCAAATGCATGTAAATAACTGTCATTACTTTGCGTTCCAAGTATCAGTCAGTATCTTTATTATGCACTGCCTTTAGCATAGCAAAGTACTGGTACGACGACTGTATCACCTGCAAATAAAATGAAGAATTGCATTAGTGGAAATGGAAATTAATCCCTGTTTAACCTAACAAAAGAGTTAAAAATGCATTGTTAAACATGGCCATACATATATTCTTTATTGAAAGCGGAGATATCAAATAATTCAACTCCTAAACAAAATTAAACAATATATTAAACTTCTACCAGACTACATGGAGTAAAATGCAGAAGAGGGCCATCTTCAGTCTCGCTGACATGAAAACCTCAAATCTTACTCATTCACGAACCTTAGGCCATTGTTACACCACATGATCTGAGGTCACTGTCATTCAACAAATAACAACAAAATGCCCTCTACCATGTTTCTACTGCTGATTGTAGCAGACTGAAAAGTACAATTTTAGACTACACTCCAATAGCATAATGTCGATGCCAAATTTAATCAAAATCCATTCAGTGGCTCTTCAGTTTAATCAGATGAACAGACAGACAGACATGGCCAGCCCATTAGGTGTTCTTTGCAAAAGCCAGAACATGATGAACGCGTAATAAGAAATTAGAACAAGAAAAATAGCAATTATAATATGTTTCTGGTTACATATTATGATGGTACTCTACCAGAAACCAAAAAGAAATTCTCCTCTCCAAAATGTCTCCAGTCTGAAACTCATTTGTCTCCGCAAGACTTGTAGCAGAAGAACTATTACTAAATAACTTGTAAATAACTGTGTCATTACTTTGCGTTCCAAGTATCAGTCAGTATCTTTATTATGCACTGCCTTTAGCATAGCAAAGTACTGGTACGACGACTGTATCACCTGCAAATAAAATGAAGAATTGCATTAGTGGAAATGGAAATTAATCCCTGTTTAACCTAACAAAAGAGTTAAAAATGCATTGTTAAACATGGCCATACATATATTCTTTATTGAAAGTGGAGATATCAAATAATTCAACTCCAAACAAAATTAAACAATTAAGAGAATTTGAATGATTTCAGATGCAGTTCATAAATTCATACATTTATTTGCCTCTTGATAAACAGCATGTTTTTGCCTACTACCAATATATGTAAATAGTCGGCCATCCATCGTACCCTGCTTCTCCCAAATAGCCCATTGTAGAAAAAACGGCAAATACAAAATATGTTTCTTGCGCAGAGACAGCCCTTGGAAAATTATCTATATTTAATTCCAAAAATTGTCACAGGGATGTCCTTAAGTTTACGGTGGCAAATAGTTTCTAAATGACACGTCACTTCTCTTGCAGAGAAAACCCTGAAGAGAAATTTATTTTGCCTATATCACATATTATGAACAGTAAAGATGACTGTCTTCACTCATTATTAATCTCAGTATTGGTTGCAGGCGTGTGGTCAGCTTCACAGTTTGTCCACTTTACTTCCCAGCACCAATTGGACTGGAGGATGAGTAGGTCCCAAAATTGGTGGCAAAGAAAATTTTGTTCCCACCAGCCCACAATCCATTACTGACAAGCTATTCCAGCTATTTCCATTTTACTTACTTTTGTAAAATTTTCAAGAGTCAAGGTTGAGAAACCTCCAGCTGTGAGCTTCACTTGTCTCTTGGCTCTTTCCATTAATATATGCAGGTGTTTCCTGAATTTGATATTTGTAGTGTACCACTCACAGTGATACGCAGCATTTAAAGTCTCAGAACTCTGTAATATAAATGTGATGTAAAGCAGAGGGCAGTAATATATAATACAAATTAAGAAACACATTTTCATTTAACTCAGACACACCAAACAAACAAAAGCAAAATGGGTTAACATATTACAAAACTAAACTCTGTACAAGGACAACCAATCTAAAAATTCTGATACGGGACATAAAAAATTTCTGTCACAAAAGAAAATGCCTGTATCCCAAGAATGAAAATTTGTGATGACTTCTGATACGGGACATAAAAAATTTCTGTTATAAAAAAAGAAAATGCCTGTATCCCAAGAATTAAAATTTGTGATGACATCTGTATCATTCATGGATGCAATGGAGAGACCAGTTTTATTACATATATTTTGAAAACTCTAAAGAAGAAAGAAATTTTAAGAATCATACTGGACAACAGAATAGGCCAAACTGCCTAATACAAGATGAAGATTAAGAAAAACAGTATTTAATATCATGATACTGATAATCCAATATTCTTTGCCGAGGTCACAATCAGTTTTCAGTATCTAAATATGGGTTTCCAAAATATATAGAAATAATGCATGTAAAAATTTAAGGGACTGATAATGAATATTCTCAGAATATGCTCAAAACAAGACTGGAGAAAAATGTGACAGTGCCCAAAATCCAGTTATGTATGACATTTCTGTATTCATCATGAAAATTATTGGTGGCTGCAACTGAGAACCAGACTCACACAAAATATTCTTACCGCTTCCAACAGTTCCCCTCCAAACCAATAAAACATTCCTTGCTCGAGGAGAGCTGATACAAACGAGCCGCATAACGTCACAAACTTAGTACCCTCGCCATGAATCGGAATCTGAAATGTACAGCGTAATTTCACAAAGTCAAAGGTACCTACACACTTTTGGAATCCTGTGACTGTGTTAGCCAAAGTCAAGATGCACGTGGAACAGTGAAAATAGATATATTCAAACCCAAAGTTTCCCTTGTATAAGTTGTCAATACCAAACTTTGCCACCTCTAGCATTCCCACAGCGAAAACAAAAATGGAAGCTTACATCTGTTCAGATACGGCACAGTGTGTGAATTTTTTAAACTCCAGTTCCCAGACTGATGGTTGGGATGAGGTGCTCCAATTTTGTAACCAGACCTCACAGCAATGAACTTTCATGTTGCAGAGGGTTTAACAATAGACTGATTACTGCTGGGATGCCTGCCGCATCACTGGTGGTAGCCATACTGATGTGTTATAATTGGATTACGTCCACTAAAGCTTAAGATTTCTATAAATATTGGTAAACAACTTCTTGTATGTGAGTGAGAGGTTACAATTCTAGGAAATTGATTCTACTTATCATTCAAAATTAATTTTACCTCAAGAAGTGAACCACTTGAATTCTTTTGTCAATAAAACAAAATTTTAAAATACAAACAGAATGTTCCTGTAACTCATACTACAGACCTTTTGTCAATAAAACAAAATTTTAAAATCTCAAAACTTACAAAATTTTAAAATACAAACAGAAAGTTCCTGTAACTCATACTATGCACCTAACTGCAAAATTTTAACTGCAATCCAGAAATGAAACATGCCAAGTGTTTTCAGAATGGTGTGGCCAATACTTCACCCACAACTGTTACAAACTGCTCATAACAACTGCTCACACAGCAAATAGTTTGGCCATATCCATACCTCTCTCACAATGTCATTAACTTTGTTCTATATCACAACAGTAACATTTTACAAACCTTAAAATTTGACTTCTCTGTATATCTAAATACATAAAATTAAATAATGTCTGTTTTCAAGTATCTGCTGAATCAGCCTGTCTGATTCTAACATTGATGGAAGTAATAGTAATGGCAAATAGAATTAATGTTTCCCCCCTGCCTAAGAACAGCCTGAAGGTATATGGAGGTAATGTAGGTCAAGCTTCTGACTTGGCATTAGCTGCGAGTGGTCAGCTTCACATTTCGACCACTACACCACCAGGGAAAGGGCTTCCATTAACCAATGGATAAACCCTACAAACAATACAAGAAAACTTCCTGCCATACCAGGAATTAAAATCTGTCATTCTGCCCATAGCCAGTTACTTCACTGATCGGGCTATCTCAACTCATGAACAATGGCATCTGCTTCTGTAAAACTTCAGTAATCAGATTTTCTGCGTACAGTTGGTGCTGTAATGTTCATGACAACTTTCATACTCAAAAAATCCCTGATGGACTACCTGGTTCTGAACCGAAGCCCGTGCCATAAAAAGACGATGTCTAACCGCCATAGCTATGGTACACCCTTCAACAGTCTGTCTATAATAAATAAACATGTAAACCAATTATAAATATAAAATAGTGAAGAAAGATTGCTACCCTGGTATATTTGGAATCAACCATTAACTCACCACTGACATTTGAAAGCCTAACACACAGTAGGCAATCACGCTACCAAGAAGCTGCATCAGCATGACTGGTTTTAAAAAAGCTTCCAACTTCTTCACAAAGCTGTAACATATTAATAGACTACATTACAGTGTAATCTGCATCAGTGGTGGCCGATACCAGGCATGTCACAAACAGCATTCGAATTCCAAAAATATACATATTATAATCTCTCAAAATGAAAAAAATAAAATAAAAATGAGAATATTGCAAAAAACAAATTAAGAAATGGTTGTTTACCTGCAATTCTAAACTCTTAACACCTGATTTTTTTTTAATATCTGGCTTGTAGAAACTAATCAACCAAGAAATTAACAAATGTAAGACTTGAGGTTCTCACAGCGGTGAGTATGAAGATATCCGTCTTCTGGGTTATTGCGCTGTGTAGTCTGGTCGATGTTAACCAACGTTTCAGAGGTCATACTGCCTCCGTCATCAGGGCAATATGACCTCTGAAACGTTGGTTAACATCGACCAGACTACACAGCGCAACAACCCAGAAGACAGAAATCTTCATACTCATCGCCCTGATGACGGAGGCAGTATGACCTCTGAAACGTTGGTTAACATCGACCAGACTACACAGCGCAATAACCCAGAAGACGGATATCTTCAAATTAACAAATGACTAAAACCAATCAATTCCTAAGTACAGGATCTTCTTTGAAACGTTTTCTGTTACTCAGCAAGAGATTATCTGCTTTAAAAGGACCTACAGAATCGTTACTTTTAAAAATAAAAAATAAAATGTCTGCATGTAAAGTTCAAATAATGTTATGATTCATTATATTGAGACATCAAATGATTCATAAGTTGGTAAGACATAGTAACAGTCCTGAATATTTATGAATTAGATATGTGTTACTCGCATAAATTTTGTTTAGGTTGCACTTGTCAGAAAACATATTTCTGTAACAATTTAATAAAAGATAGAATGTGGCCATGTATCTAACTTGTGGCCTGGACTTTTATTTGGGCGATCTGCATTATCTCATTATTATGTTCCAATTCTGTCATGATATCAGCAAAAATCCTTCGTAATTAACAGACACGCTATAGTTCTTGGTCCAGCCTCACCTCAAAATGACTTGGTGATGCTGAACGCAATTCTTCAGGATGTGTTGCATCGGTCTGTCTAACTTCTGTTCCATTGACGCAGACTGCATTTCTCTTCCATCATTTCTAATTCCTTTACCTGCAGAATTATTACAATTTACAAAGTTAATATGGAAGAAAAACATTCTAGAGTACGGAACTGATACCTTTTGAGATCACATAATGGAAACAGGTTGCAGATACGATCTACTGCTTAGCATGTGGATGGACACTCAACAAAGACATTAAGATTTAAAAGAGGGTTTCTCAGTTCTGTAATCTCATACATCACATTTAACTGTCTTTCATAATATACAAAGCTCCTACTTGATGCTACAACATGGCTGGCAATATCTATTATCATACACTGAGCCATCGCTGAGTAATTGTACTTACCTAATTTTGCTTCCCATTAAAAGTCTGATTACTGTTCAGGTGATGTATACACATGGTTCAGTTCTAGTCAAGATGGCTTACAAGACTATGGGGAAATTAGCTATTGTATTCAAGTAAAGACTTTCAAAACAATATCTGTATTAAGTATTTACCGTGGAGTATATGCCACTCAAAATATTTAGGTTTTGCAGTAACATAATGTAATGACAGGCTTCGTGCCACATAAAAAGTACTTTATGACCAAAGATAAACTGGATTCAATTAGAAGGCCTGACTGACAAGCAGAAACCAAACTTGCTGTTGTATATTATCTTTTGAGACACCCGTAAAAACAGTTGGTGAACACGAATTAAATAATGTTATGTCGTACTGCAACATTTTAGTGATACTTCTGGGCCTGACAATTATGGGTTATATTTCTGTCCCTTTATGCAATGAAACAATAAAAGTAATAGTTTCATAGGGTGGAGTGCATCATACCACAGAAGCATACCAGAAGAAGATAGAACCAAAGGCAAACAAGAATTGTAATGAGGAATACGGCAGATTCAAGTTAACTGGGCCATCGGTTAATCGGGGCAGCAGTTTATTTGGGACAAATCTTAAAGAACAAACCTTTTTAACTCTTTACGCGGAACTTCACATTTTCGGTGCAAAGTGTTCTAGTCCCGATGTGTCCCAATTAAGCGGAATCCACTGTATTTGCACTGAAGTTAAGTATGGGAATGTCACTTCAACAAGTTTGTGAGGAATTTGCTGTAATGTGTAGCCTACTATAGTAAATCAATAGATTAGAAAAGGCAATTTGTTTGGGGGGCAGCACTATCTGAGAAAGAACAGAGCCTGGTCTTAGAATTTCCAAAATGTCCTGAATGGGTATTTCTATAGCATAAGTGAAATATATGGAATCTGGGTAAGAAGTTCCCTTCAGAGATGTGTAAAAATGTTAAAATGTGTCAGGATAAATTCTCTGAAGACATAAAGAAATGCAAGGCTGCTGTGACTAGGAAGGTAATAAAAAATTACTTTAATGGTATGTCCAATTTCATAACTGGGTTACTTTTTACGCAAGCTGCTTACACTTAATAAACATTTTAAAAATTAATCTGACTGATCCATTACACTCCTGGACTGGAACAAAGTGTTTTCTCATCCAAAAGTGTGGGTGAACCATTTGACTCTGTACTGCGGGGTAAAGCAGATCGCAATTTAACACTTTCTTAAATTGTTTTCAAATGCACTGTTGTCTTCTTTCACTGCATAGTATGTAAAAGAAATATTATAAATGTCAAGATAATTTTATCATCCTTTTTGGTGAAATTACTTATCAGAAATATGAAAAAAGTGGTTCACTTTCCCCTTTGTATGATATATCCACAAAACGTTTACTATTAATTTTGTAAACATTCCCTTGTCTTGTGTTTATCATCTCACTGTTATTGAGTTACTCTAAAATGTATATTACTAATTAATTACCATCGTAATTTTCTTTCAAATGGAATGCCGCTGTCCAGAACTTGTTGCCATCACTAACGGTGTGTTCAGACACCCGCACGTCTTGATCAAGTTGATTCCCATCCACTTCCAGCGCTTCTCCAGCATCTTCACGCAAGTGGATCAGAACATGTTGCAGTGCTTTGAAATGTCCAGAAGTATGAATAAATACAGAAACAAACAACATATCCCAAGTCGGTAATGAAATAAAGACAGCAAGACCACAAAATGCCTGATAGATATATGTAAGAATGAAATACAGAAAGTTGTTTTCTACATCAAATGGATAGTATGCAACAAATGGTAATTTCAGAATAGACATTTTACTGCTGTTAGACTTCACATCATCACCATACTGACGAGTATGCAACTCTTCAGCATATTCCAACAACATTTCTTTAATGGGAGATAAAATCCAAAGTGTAGCTGTACAGAGTGCCAAACTGGTTCTTATGATAGTATACAGCTTCGCTCTTGCTGCATATCTATTCAGGATTATTGTCTGCTGCGGTGTTGGCCGTCGCCCACTTGTGAAAAATTTGTTTTGTAGTTGATCAATAAGTTCAGAGGCATCATCACTTCTAAGAAGTAAGTAACAGTTCTTAAATGCAACAAGGCTACTGAATACAATAGATAAAAGTAATTTTGTTATGTGTTCTATGCTATTTATGTGAATATAGACATCACAAATTTGTGTTATGTTAAACAGAATCAGTGCTATGATAGCTAAAAATGCAAATGCTTTATGATATCTCCAGTGAGGTACATCCCATTTCCAGAGCCCCAATATACGAAGAGTTCGGAGGTTGAATTCGAGCAATTCCTTGGCTTCACGATGTTCCTCTACACCGAGAATTTTTTTCATTCTTGGTGACATTAGCTTCATATTTAAATCTAAATGTATTAGTTCTATGTTTTAAAGTGTTCCTTTTATTACAAAGACCTATCAGACCAAACCAATCTTGCACATTAAAAATAATTCAACTATATGTGCACAAACACTCAGATTTTTAGACACTGATGTCAAATGTCCAGTAAGGAAAGCAAATACCACAACTTTCTCTTGCAGAAGCTGCAATATTCTAATTTAACCTTCATTGACTGTGTGTCACATCTTATAAGTAGTCTAGCTCACCACATGTCACTAGCATCCTACTAAATTTTTAACCTCAGGGTTAAATTCTGGCTAGAAACCCCAATAGTATAGGGTTTAAATCTTCTATTCTCATTCGATAAAGGTTAAAAAAAAGTCATGACCTTAACCTGCAATGATCTTGTAGAACACAAGTACATAATCAGGTGATTTAAATAATTTATAATTAAATTCAGTGTAAAATTTTACAACTTAATATCCCATATGTCACTTTCACACACCTTAATCAAGTACGATGTCCCACAGACGTTCAAGGAATTAAAAGACCAAGGTACCTTGCAATTTAAATTTCTTTCAGTGAGATCTCCCATCTACTGAACTACATAATTAATTCAGTGGGTCTATAATTACTTTCCATGCTTCAAAAATTGGCTTCCTGAATTTGATATAAATTTGTTATATTTAATTATTTGTGTTCATTTGTAGAAAATTAACTGTAAAGGTTAACCTGATCTTATTTTCAGCAGGTCCTGGAAAGAGTTGCCATTTCTTCTTAAGGAATAAAAAATTATATGAGAATATTTCTATTGCAATGGTACGTTAGAAATGACTCAGCAACAAGCAGTCATGATCCATATACTGCCATTTTTATGCAAGAACTGAAGAAAACTTTAATGAACACCACTGGATGTAGTCTTCTTGTTCTCTCATTTAAGAAAACTTTTTCAGTAGCTCAGATTGCATCAAATGAGAGGATGATAGTGAATAATGACATTTGCCTGGAAGAACTGTGGAACACCACGAAATACCTCCGGCCACGGGCTGAGATTTGATCCTAGGACCTCCCGAACATAAAGCAGGAGTGCTAACCACTTGACCATGGTGTTTAGTGTTAGGTGGTCTTGCCTCACTGGATGTGTTCTATAATTTTATATCAAAAGACAGCTAGAAGCTTGTTGCCATTTTGCAGGGCATGATGTATTGTGAATAAAGAGAAAGGAATTTTTCAGATTTGAATCGTTATTAATCACTTAATACAACATAAATTATCTCATATCCTCAACTTCTGATCAAAACATATTTAAATTTTGTCAATACTTTATGAAATAATTTTAAAATTGATTTAAATTAAATTTTGTTCAAATACTTCAAAATGGCTCATTTTATGAAAAAACGAACAAATTTTATTCAGTAACAAGGCCTTCACAAACCTGCCAACTAACTACATGGTTTACAGAATCCGAAGGTTCATCACCGAACTAACCAAAGCCCTCCACCAGACCCTGTCCTGGGCCAACAAAATCCAGTCTCCTTCAACTCCTATCTCCCGTAGATCCCACCTGAGATTATCCTCCCATCTACGTCTAGGTCTCCCCAGAGGTCTCTTCCCCTCAGGCTTCCCAATCAATACAATTGCCCCATCCATGCATGCCACATGTCCCGCCCATTTCATTCTTCTTGACTTAATCAGCCTGAAAATACTAGGGAAGGAGTACAAACTTTTAAGTGCCAACATGAATATTAAATTTATTAAATAGGGGATTTGTAATTCTGTAATGTGTGATTGTCAACTATTAATGCTAATTCCTTTCAGTTATGGGAATATGCTGTACTAAAAGCTATCATTATATGTTCTTTTACATGTCAAATAATTGCTGGAGACCTGTAATGTAACAGATGTTTTTTCTCATTCACTGGTGGTCATTACATTTCAAAATAAGGGTAGATAATGGAACTGTAATATATATTAATCAGCAGAATGTCTGAGATTTGATGTTCTATATGACAATGAAGGAGAGTATAAATGTAAATGCATTAAAATTTACATTACAATAAATCTTACTTTTTTTCATGTTTATTTAACTGTACAGGTATGTTCTTATTTTGAAACAAAAACATTGCATTAGTACTACCATCCAACAGCGACACATACAACCAGACAGAAGTTCCTGTACTGAACTACTATTATGTAATGTACATTGTCAGCCTTACTTTGCATTCTTTTCTGTTTTATTCCTTTTTAACTTCTTTGGTAGTCTATTAATAGACCAGAGTAGCTGATAAATGTCCTGTGGGTAGTATTCAGTAAATTGTTCATAATATTCTATTTGTAACTGTTTTATATTTCCTGGCAAAATGAAAACTTGACTGCAGACATCATCATCACCACCACTGCTGTTGTTTGTAACTGCTAAGTCATAAACAGAAAATGTTCAAGTCTAACGGACATAAATTCCCAGCATTCCAAAGCATTCAGAGAGAGAGAGAGTATTTTTATATACAGAAATATAATTTATAACCAATCATCCTGTTGCAATTATTGCTAAACTCTCTAACTTCAGACTGTCAACACGCAAACAATAACATACTTCATATTCTTCTTAACATTAATTATTTATTAATCTCAATAATACAAATATTAATATATGTTTTGACCATTAGCAGCAATCCTCCGTACCCTCATCCCAATTTATAATAATAAAAGTAACATATCACACAACCATGACAAGAGTGTTAAAATAACACCACCAATATGACTGTGTGGTAAATACAGTAAAGTAGTTAAAAGGTTAAATACATATAAATTATATGTAAAATGCTACACATATATGCAGTGTTTAAAATAAATGCTTTCTGGATTTTAATACTTCCTCATAAGATATTAAAGAAAAATTACGGATATGCTACGCATGCAGAAATAACGGTATTCAAATATAAATAAACAAGCTTCTCATTCAACTTCAGTGAAATTAGTAATAAATCACTGCGATTGGGAAAATTAATGCAATTCTGTTATGTCTTCTAATTGTGCATCAGATTCTTTTGTGATGAAAAACTCAATATGATATTTGAGTAGATTATTCACAAACCAAACCAAATAAATCAGTCTCCATGGCAGTCGTGGCAAATCTTTTTATAACCTGGTGCCAAAATTTCACAGAGATTTACTTACCAATATGAAGTAGTGGCCAGCAATCTTGATGCCCTAGTAGTCTAGCAGTATGCCAAGAGACTTCATGAGATATTTTCTGTTGGTACTTTTACGCTTCTCTCAAATTTCTTAAACATGGTTGTTTTGAGGGCAGAACAAGAGACACTCATTTCATCTGCAAGACTGCTTCTTAGGTCTCACATGGTGTATTTCTACATGAGAATAATTGTATGGAAAAATTCTAATCTTTCCAGTGCTTTAATACAAGTTAATGAGGTTTATCATACATTTAAAATGAGATTTTCTGTACTTGCATAACTTTCTTTGTGTACATAATCCTCCAGTATTTCAATCTCTTTCCTCAGCTCAGTAAATCTGCTTTTCCAAACTGAATGTTCTTGAAATTCAGCCATTTGCACCTCCAAATCATCCAATTCCATCCAAGAAAACAATTGCAGCTCCAGTTCTTTGTATTCATCTGTACTGTGGTTTGCGATAAATAGCACTGTTTGGACTAGATTTGGAATTGAATAAATCTGCTGTTAAATTGTACAACTGAAATATAAATGAAGATTTTCGTCTTCTGGGTTGTTGTGCTGTGTAGTCTGGTCGATGTTAACCAACGTTTCAGAGGTCATACTGCCTCCGTCATCAGGGCGATGAATGAAATATAAATATTTTTTTTAAGCTGTTGCAGTGTTCCATTTCCTTTAGCATTACCAATGTTAAATGAGTTTGTACTTTCCAAGTGACATTTCATTAATGGGAAATATTCAACTGTGTGCAAATTTAGATTGCACTGGAAAATCCTAAGCTTTCTTTCATATGCATGTAAAATATTTAACATGCTTTTCACTGTTTTTCAACAACAATGAAGCTCTATATTGAGTTCAATGAAATGGGTATTGAAATCATCAAAGAACATCAACATTGTCAACCATCTCTGGTCATATAGTTGGGGACAACAATATTGTTTCTTGACTTCCACAAATCCTATTTTAGGCAAACATTCTACAATGTGGTGTGGTACATGACCGTGATTAAGCCGCCTAACATTATTAGGATTTACTAATTTGAAATTTTGCAAGTTAACTTCATCCAGAAGAATTTTGAACTGTCTATTGTTGACTGCACAAAGAAACTGGCAAATGTGTCACTATGTGAAGTGTGCAATAATGTGAGCCATGTTTCCCAGTAGTAAAACCTCTCTAAGTTGGGCACTTGGGGTTCCACAAAAATGTGTCCAACTTACAGAGGTGTCCAAGATAGAGAGAAAAATCAGATTGTGGTCTAATGACAATATAATCTATTTACTTACATACACTAACTACTGTAGACTTACTTGAATTAAGAATTAATGGCAACAATAATAATAATAACATTTTGAAGTCCACTCCCATTCATTGTACATTACACCCCAGCCTCAATAACATTTTCTAAAGTTTATTCCACCAATTTTCGCTCCCCATCACAAAACGGAACGCAGTCTGAACTCAAATGCACGCACAGTATTGACGGAGTTAAAACTGTGTCTTCTGCAATACTGTAGTCCAGTTAAGGGTTCAGCAAAAGAATAGTTAAACACTTGCAATGCATTCCAATGATGGGTTCAATGTCCATAAGATAATCCTCCAGAGAGGAGGCATTCATCAGTCAGAAACTCAAAATAACAAAATATGTAACTGAAAAAGTTTCCCTGAAAATCATCAAAGTTAAGTACATGAACCTGTCCAACTTACAACAAAAGGTGTTCAAGTTCCAGGATAAAGGGGTGTCCAAGATATAAGGTATTGTGGACATGTAAAATTATAGGACATTCACTGGTTCCAATTAAAAGAGTCTAATATAAAGGGGTGTACAACTTTATTACAGGCAAGAGGCAGATACATTTGGCAAATGAGCATTACCTGGCTGACTCACCAATGTAGTGACCCACTGCACCACTAATTCAAGATCATATCAAGAAGCAAGGTGCATTACCTCACAGATTTTTCACTTTACCTTGCAACAAAAAAACTGTTGCAATTCTGCATTAGCATATTTTGTGATTAGATAAGATCAAATATCTATAAGTGGATCAGCAGTAAATCTATGAGGGCAGCTATTTTAATGTGTTTATATGAGTAATCTTTATAATTTCAGCAAAGCCACTGTAAGGCAACATCTTCCCAACACCACATTCAAAAAGAATAAAAATGTATTTGAAAGGTGCCAGACCTCTCAGGTTCAAGCAGCAAGTCAAAAACCCTACATGTATCAGATCTTTTTATTCAAGAACACATAATAGCCTTGCAGTAGATATTAATGTATTTATCTTTTTTAATACATACGTTTTCACAAAGTCAGGCCTAAAACACAAACATGGCGCTCACAACAGATCACAGAAATATACATAACCTCACTAAACGCATCTTCACTCTTGCCATCGTGAGAACCTGAAATCTCACTTGTTTGGACTGCACGCCTGGTTACGGAGGTGTAGTTTCATGGACAATACATAACAGAGCGCACGTTACCAACTTTAAAACAGAATTTGTAACTCGTGTTCATGTGACTATCGCAATAGACAATGAGATCACTATCGCGACTTCAATTTCACGGATTCAAACAGAGTTTGATTTTTGGTGATATTCACGTCATAGAGTCGTGACCTTGCCTGTGCAAATATGTCGCATTGTCATGTTAATCTATGGTCATGACATTATGGCAGTACAAGTCAACGCACGAACGGTGAAACGAATGGTTGTGTTTCATTTATTCAGGGTTTGTTTCATGTGGGATTAATGGGAGACTCTCCGTGTTTCGTCATCATTAATTTTAGAAGCTTATCAAAAATATCCTTGCTTATTAGACAAAGTTCACCTGGACTTCAAAGACAGGGTGGTTAGAAGTGCAGCTGACGAGGCCCTTTCGAAAATTACAAGCATCGTCGATGTTAAAACCCTCCGAAAGAAAATCAGAAAGATTAGGGGAACCCACAATATTGCCACTGCCGTGAACACCACCTCGCTAAAGGACATGTTTTCTACGACATAATTATATATGTAAACGCTCGCTAAAAAAACCAGTAATGACCGTAAATGTCGGACTTTAAGTACATAAAAACGATCAAAAGTTTGCAGCTTGTGGTTGACCTTTGTGCAGTGAAACTGTTATGCAATGCTGGAAGTCAATGACAGTGTATTTTGTAAGAAGCTACCAAAAGTGGTCAGTGTAATTTACGACACCGTAATTATTTTACGCTGATAATAAATTATGCTTTTTTTGGGGGGGGGGGACGATCAGTCTGTTCAACAATATTTTTATGCTTACGCGTTCAGTTTTTACTCTTTTTTCCCCATTCATTTCCCTAGGTGACCGCCAAATTTGTCTAGTGGCCAATCGGACTGTGGTTTTGGTACATAAATTATGTGATTTTGGATGAATAAAAGACAAAAATTGTACTCACAGTTTCATGCCTTTGAATGTTTAAATAATATCTTATAAGCAAATTACCATTGTTTCTCAACCAATGATTCAAAGACTCCTGACAGTCTGCCTGTGTCCCACAAGTTTAATAGATTCCATTTCTTTGTTTTCTTGTGTTGTATTACTGCAAGTTTAAGTGTCTTTTTATTACATTTTTGAATTTCCACACTCGAGTAAAACCATGAAAAAACAATAGGCATCTATTTTAGTTAATATGCATTCTGTTTAATCCATACATATGAGATCATTTTGGGGCAGTGGGATCCACAACATTTGAAAGGTTGAGGAATAGGTGCCAATACACAGGTTTGACAGGAGAGGCTTGGGGGGTCTATTTCAATTAATCTGATAAAAAACATTAAAGGCTTAAAATATAACATAGTCCTTAAAGAAAAATTAATTCAGAGACCAATTTCATGAGAAAAAAATTGTACCTCAATATACCCTTAGACAAGTTACATTTGAAAAAAACCAAAAGAACAAAGCACGCAAAGATGTTTAATTTCTTTTTTAGATGTGTTCATAATTAAACATTCAAAAAATGCACCCACTGGCTTTGCCATGTCTGTCAGTCCACAAATAACACCTCGAGAACCGTTAAATTTTAATTGTATTTTACATTTGACAGTTTTACTAAAATTTTACAAATTATAGCATTTTGATTCCAGTTTGACACAAATAATTGTCACTTTGAATGTGTTTCTTACATTTAAGTGATGAGGGGAAATCTATAACAAGCAATACAAACATGCTAGGCACGTGGAGCTGATGGTGGTTAACGATGGATCCAAGAGGAAGCTGTTGACGTTGGTCTTCTGGGTTGTAATGTCATGTGCATTTTTATGTAGGTACTATTTCAGAGGAACATACTGCCCCAATCTTCAGGGCAGTGTTTTTCTCCAAAACATTGGTATCAACCTGCACAGCAATCTAGCAGACCAACTTGGGCCACAAATTACCCATAAGTTAAGTTAATCAATGAAGCTGTACCATCACTCGATACATCATTATGGTATAATGCTTAATTTAGAAGTTCTCAACATTTTTTGGTGTCACTTTTTTTGTAACATATCCATTTTTAGGGGCATTACTTGTAACAGTTATTTTTTTCTTCAATGGAAATTATTTTCAACAAAGGACAGTACACTCAAAACAATTTGAGTAAGAACTGAGTTACACAGAACCTTGTATACAGAGACATATATATTTTCTGTTCGTGGCAGATTGTCAACGAATGGAGGGATTATGAATTCTTCAAAGGATGGGTTGTGGTACTTTCATAGATATTTTAACACAACTGCTGACAGTAACTGCTACTACCAATATTACTAATTTCTCAAAGTTTGAAATATAAGTTTATTGTTATGCTTTAACTAATTACTAAAATATACTCAAATTTGGATAATAATGAGATATTAAGAATTGATTTTAATTTTACATTATTATTCATCTATTCAAAGCCTTAATAGCAAAAAAAAAACATGTAACACACTGGTTCAGAACCACTGGATTAATTAAGCACAGGGAAAATTTCCTTTTTGGAACATTATATATAACACAGTTTCCAAGGTTTTGCTTTACAGTTGCTTCTTTTGATGTTCATTACAGGAATTACATGCTCATCTTAATGGATCACTTAGTACTAAGACTCTGAGAGAACTTATTGAATTACAGAAACCACTATCAGACAATAGTGATGCAACTTGGAACATATGGGAAGCCATCATAGAGCATGGGCAGAAACGCACACTGGAAGAGTAAGATTATTGTCTCAAAGCACTTGATTAAAGAATTAAACGCACTGCACTGCATATTTTTGTTTTCATTTGTGGCTAATTCATTAAAGTAATCTCATGGTATTTAAATCTCGTTGCCTTAAATATTTTATTTATATTTGTTCAGATGTTTTCAAATATTTGGTATTGCACATTCACTGACAACAACACCTGCTACTGTCTACAAGGCAACACAAGATGTCATCAAGGAATTTGTAGACGATGGTGTTCGTTATCTTGAACTTCGGAGTACGCCTCGCAATGTGCCACAAATCATGTCCAAGGCTCAGTACATTCAAGCAATGGTGGATGCAATTCAGTAAGGCAGTATTTTTTTATATTCTTAAATATTCATATTTATGAAACTTTACTTTGAATTTATTTGACCTTGAAAAATACCCATACAACTTCACTCTGATGGAAAAGAACTGGATACATGAAAGTCAGAATAGTATTTCTTTACGTAATACACAAGAAAGGAAATTAATTTTGAAAACTTTCTGTGCTGGTGTTCACAAAGAAGATTGCCATTAGAGAAATTCACCTTCAAAATTTGAGTACCAGACTTTTATTTAGCAGTAATGCTTTAAACGTATATTTGAGAACAGATCAGTATGAAAATCACTGAAGTGTAATGAGTCTTGTAAATAAAAAGGCACAATTTAAATTAGCATTATTAATTTTATTATAGTATGAATTGTAGTTGTAATATTTATTGTATTATTATGACTTATTTCACATCCCGTTGTCATCTGACTAACGTATGGAGCCTTGGAATATAATAAATATTGATGTATGTATGTATTTATTCCTGATTTTGTTTTTGTTTTGCGCTGAGCAACCTTTGGACACTTCTGCAGAGATATTTGTGTTTATCATTAACTTTAGAGTGCAGAAGGAAATTTGGGGTGGTGGCCCTGGACAGTTATAACATGATATTCATAAAAAATCTAAAATAAATGCATCCCAGAGCTACCTGGGGGAGGGGGAGAATAAGAAATCATGGAGTTATACAACTGTTCATTTCTGTAACTTAGTAAACACTTCAATGAAACTGGCTTGTGCGGTAGTCCTATGAGATCCGTAAAATAACAAAACACACTTTTCATGTTGGTACTGTTAGTCTGAAAATAGTAGAATTTTATTCTGAATTTGCAGTTTATTTAGGATTTAGTTTGAGAGGTGTGCGAAGGCTGAAGAACCAGTTAATAAAATTATATCACATTACATATATCCACAAATCAACATTTCTTCTTCTTTTCTTCAAAGTTTGGACCCAAGTCCCATTTTAAGGCTGAATTGTTTGGTTGCTCCATCGTTTCCATAGATGACCAAAATCTAACCAAAGCTTTAATTTCTAAATTTGTTTTGTAAGAAAAATAAATTTTCTCATGTTGTTCCCAGACATTTCAGGGTATACTGAATTCATATGCTCAGCTTTTAAATACAGGCATGTACTGACCTCCTGTGTAGTTTAATGTTTTTAATCATAATGACATGATTTAATTTCCTCCACAGAGGTATGACGGATGATCAGATTCTTGTAAAATTGATGGTATCAATCGACCGCCGACAAGGGAAAGAATCTGCGAGTGAAACAGTCGATGCTGCTGTAGTTGCATATCACCAAAATCCTAAAATTATTGTGGGGCTAGACCTGAGTGGAGACCCAACGAAAGGACTGGTGTCAGATTATCTGCCTGTCTTGGCTCGTGGTAGGAATGCAGGACTCAAGATTTCCATCCACTGTGCAGAGGTTTGTATCTCACCTCATAGGAAATCATACAATAAAGATAATGAGAACAATGCTTATGAACATGTTTAATTTTAAGTGTAATCCTTCATTGTCAGAACCCTTTTGAATTGAATGTTTAATTTTAGTTTAGTTTAGTGTACTGTATTGTCAGGGTGATTAAGTCGAGAAGAATGAGATGGGCCGGGCATGTAGCGCGCATGGATGGGACAAGAGGCGTGTACCGGATATTGGTTGGGACAGCTGAGGGGAAGAGACCACTGGGGAGACCTAGACGTAGATGGGAGGATAATCTCAGGCGGGATCTATGGGAGATAGGAGTTGAAGGAGACTGGATTTTGTTGGCCCAGGACAGGGTCCGGTGGAGGGCTTTGGTTAATTCGGTGATGAACCTTTGGGTTCGGTAAACCATCTAGTTAGTTAGTTAGTTAGTGTACTGTATGAGAGAGATAAATAAGTCCCTGTGACGTATGTGGTCTGGGAAGTCGCTTGCTGCACTACTAGCAGACCGAAAAACGTGCTTGTTCTAATTTGGTGTAAACTTTGCAGGTAACACTTTAAAACACTGGAAGTTATAAAATAGTCAGTAACAATAAAACAAATAAATGAATAATGATACTACAGACAATTGAATGCAACAAAGGGTTTTGAAAAATATCTTTGTACTAAAGACCAATGATCTCCACTCAGGAATAAGGGGGTTACGCATGTGCGTAACATCACTTGTCTACTGGGCTGCCTACATCACAGGGACTCTCTTAACTCTCATGAACAGCAGTTTTAAGTTTTCTGGGGAGATGAGTATGTATTACGGAGTTATTCAGCTTTGCAATAACTTTCCATGTCTCTATAATGCTGTTCAGGTTTTATGAAAATTAAAGGTTAAAATAACAAAATAATAAGATATTGGAACCATAACTTATCAGTATGAGTCCTAAAAGAATTCAATACATCATTGAGATTACCTATCACTGTGTAATGACCAGCTCCAGATTACATGCATTAATTAAGATTACTGCTATTCCTCTAAAGAGTGACCATCTTGGACTGTGTGTTTTATCTGAAGATGGATACAATTATTTTAATTTTATAACCTAAATCACCGTGGGTACTAACAATACTTCTTTTTCATTAAACTTCAGAATAATATTCAAAGAACAGGATTTGAAGTTCTCGTGGTCATGGGCATAAAGATGGCTGCCTTCTGGGTTGAGTAATTATTCATCACCCTGGTGATAGAGGCAGCAAGGACCTCTGAAATGTTGGTAAAATTCTACCAATCTACATGGCACTACAACACAGAAGACAGTCAACTTTGTACTCACCGCTGTTAGAAACTCAAATCCTCTCATCATCTCATAGATTCAAAGAGTTCATGAAAATTTGATAACAAGAAATACAACAGCACTTGTTACTGCGATGATTTATACACAAAGAATCAGAATTCAACAACTGCTTTATTAAAATTTGCATTTGTATTAATAACGTATAGTATCCATTTCTTATCATAACTGCATATACAGCAGAGCAACTGTTCATCAGATGGTTTGTTCTTAGTGAAAACACAGCTGTAAAATTATTGAAGTCATAAAACCTGCAATCATATTTTACCATGTAACAAAACTCCAGTTTTATCCCCAGTAATAGCTCTGATTTGTAATAAAAGTCACTGCAATACACTGCCACTTACCTGTTTATCGATAATTTGAGTAATGAATTGTACATGAGCTTATTATGTTTTCATTATTTGTAAAATATGTTTAAAATTATAAAACCATGTGTTACATACACAAATATGGTGAATAAAGCATTCAGTCCTCCTACCCTTCCTACTGAATATTTTTAGCACCTTTTTTCATATCTGCTACATTTAAAATTGCTAAAATGATTATCATACCACTAATCTTGAGTAGTTCTGGTACAAAATATATGTAGGCTGAAGGAAAGATAATTTTGTATTATCAAGGATTTTATATTTGCCTTTACCTTCCCGTTTATAGTCCAGACAGTTTAAACATACTTGTAATGGTAAACTGATTTGCTTACAGTTTCAGGCATTGACTATTGAATGCTCTGTAATAAATACAGTTTTAACTTGATCCCAGGTACCAAATTCAGATGAAGTGGAAGAGATTTTGAATTTTCACCCTGATCGTTTAGGTCATTGTACATGCATTCATCCACTGCATGGAGGATCTCAGGAATTATGGATTAAACTGTTACATTCCCACATTCCTGTTGGTAAGTACAAGATAAATTATTTGTATAAGATAACTGCTATGTAAGCATCAAATTTTATGAATGCTACTGAATTGTGTTTAAGCAGGTTTTACACACTGGATAAAATGAATGCATAATAGGGACAATGTTTCATGTAAAAACTACTTTAAGGATTCTAATGGAATTTTATATTTGTGTCTCACAAGTCTTGTAAATAAAAAGGCACAATTTAATGTAGCATTAAAAAGATACTTAATTACGCACTCCTTTCACTCTGTCAATGAATTTACGTTGTTTACAAATAAGTGATAAATTTTCTTCTGTGTGTAATGGGTAGATTTATTTGTAACTTATCATTTCTTTAGGTGAACCCTTTGTTTTGTATTATGTGAAATTTATATAATAGTTTGAATTGTAATTTATAATATGTATTGTATTATTATGACTTTCTACATCCTATTGTCATCTGTCTTATGGATCCATGGAATGTAATAAAATATTATTATTACACAAGTTTCATCTTGGCCCATTTCAGTCTACTTTACACAAAGCTCAAAGAAAACTTTGTTTTTCTCAATAGAGGCTTGTCATAAAGAATAATTATAACATAAAACAAAGCTCACTGAGATGTTACAGATTTTATTTAAAACAGTCTTTGATATGAAGATGGAAGTGTTCTTGGTCGTTACTCCGTGCAGTCTGGTAGAAGTTTCACAGGTCCCTGAAACTTCTACCAGACTACACAGCGCAACAACCCAGAAGACAGCCATCTTCAGACTCACCACCTTGAAAACCTCAAATCCTACACAATTTTTGACATGATGCATCTTCGCCTTCCCATGATATTTCCACTTCAAGTGGATTGTCTGATAACCAAGCCTTTCAGTCTTTCTGCCATCCCTACAACTTGCCCTATTTGCCTGTAGCTTGTAGTTACTTTGTCTTATGAGGCTAGGATTTACAGATGCTGTCAAATATCACTCTTATTTCCATCACATCTTTGCTGTATTATTCTTCTACGGCACAACAGTCTGAAGTCGAGTCTTGTCCTCCTCCCATTTGGGAGGTTTCTATGTCTATGTATTATAATCATGTTCATCTGAGATCAAATTCATGAGACCTGCCACAAAATGTACACATAATTCCACTATGGATAAACGAAGACGAAATCAGCATTCATTGTTTATTTATTTATGTCAAATGGCAGGTACATAGAATTTCATCTTTGACCCATAACACATCTTGCTTCCCAGTAGCAATCATAAAGGCATTCATTGTAGGTTCTTGTGAAAATAATGGGATTTTGCAACTGTCAGCTTTTCAAGAAGGCCTCTGTTTCGTGGAATTAGTCATAATTTTTGGTCATTTGAATTAATAAAGTTTTACTGCACTGACAGAACTTCACATTTGTATGTTTTATGATTCTGCTGAAAACAGGTATGTTCAAACTATGTCAATAAGCGCAATGCATCCAGTGTATTATTCTATGACCGAAGACTCCTCTTAACGCTTCATTCGAAACATTTAGGCTACTTGATGTTTGAGGACAAATAATAAATGCAGTTAATCTTCCTCTCAAACAGCAAAAAAATAAGCAATTCTGAACTGCAATTGAAAATTTCCATGTTGGACTTGAATACATGATGAAATACTGAGAAACATTTGTTAGAGTACAAGTTACAAATTCGACTAAATAAATTGTGTGTCGTTTCACTTTACATTCAGTCATTTGCTAGGTTAGAAACATTTTGATCCATATACCTATCAATTTTTTCCTTTAATAAGAGTTAATGTGGTAACTTTGCAGAAATTCAATGGACTCATTTGCCATTCATGAAAGAAAATGCTCCCATTGCCAAGGAAATGTGGGATTGTACGAATTATGACACCTAACTTATGCCTCTTCTTTTCTAGAACTATGTTTAACATCTAACGTGAAGTGCGGAACAGTAGAAAATTACAAGAAACACCATTTTATTCACCTCTTCACTGCCAAACATCCTATTGTTTTAGCAGTAAGTATAAAGCAAAAGGACCAATTGCTCTGTATATGTCAGTCAGAAAAATAAACACCTGAATATTGCTGTCTTCTGGGTTGTTGCGCCGTGTAGTCTGGTCGATGTTTACCAACGTTTCAGAGGTCATGCTGCCTCCGTTACCAGGGCGCCCCGATGACAGAGGCAGCATGACCTCTGAAACGTTGGTAAACATCGACCAGACTACACGGCGCAACAACCCAGAAGACAGAAATTTTCATACTCACAGCTGTAAAAACCTCAACTCTTACAAGGTAACACACCCCTTCATATTTTTATCTCAAAGTAAAAGATGTGTTCAAGATCCATCACATCCAAGTGTCATATTGTTGTTTGCTTTGTTTTTTTAAGGTATTAACAATACTTTATACTGGTATTTATACTTCATTCCACCTTACCATGGAGGACAGCAAGCGTTTTATAAAAGGAACCATAACAGAGTAGCCTCTCAATGGACACTTCCTAGTGAAGAGAGTTTTGAACAATTGCCTTGGTTATTAGTTTTAAAAACAGAAATGGCACAGTGCGTCTAAACTTCCTAGTATATTTTTCTGCATTAATCTTGGTTGGTTGGTATTTAATTCTCCTAGACAAGTCTTGAATCTATTTCTGAAGTGGGTGTAACACATAGGGTGGATTAAATTACCCCTCTTGATATTCATTATCATAAAGAAAGGAAGGGATCTTACGCCCTATGAGCGGGGAGGGTCAAAGTAGCCAGACCCATGTTAAAGCCTAGTCAGACTACTTTGCATGCTCATTTTTTTGAACAGTGCCCTGACACACTTTGATAAGAAATAATGCCACTATTACAGTTTCATTAATATTAAGTGTTCTTGTATGAAATGTCTCTTATTCAAGAGCTGGATGATGACTTAATGTCTGTGCATGGGGAAGAATGTGATTTCATATACACATTTTTTGCGGATGTTACTACTGTAGACAATGATCTGCAGCAAAGGTTTTAAGGTTAAGTTTTGTTATCAAGATTACAGTTCCTGTAGTAATGTAAACAAGGGGTAGAGAAATGACCCTGTAAAGCAAAGACAGTAGGATGCTGGATATTGTGTGAAATTCATAAAATGAAATAGAAAACAGTGTGGGGTGAACAAAACGTAGCTTTACAACTTCCAAGGCAATAAAACTTTAATGTTATAACTTTCAATAAATTACAAATAATAATAATAATATAGCCAGACAATGTTTTGACGCTAACGGCAGTTCAGTACGGCTGCCAGCAGCGACACGACAGACATCCCATCGATACACTCCTCCCATACACAAGCAACATGCCAGGTATAATGTGTGTTATGACTTTAGTAATCTTGTCTGTTAGGTAAAGGTGGCTTGAACATTTTGTCTTAACAAATCCCCACAAAATGCCCATTAGTGTAAGGTCAGGCGATGAAGGAGGCTATGCAGTTGGCTTGCCTGACAAATCATTTAGAAATTATTGTACAATGACATGAAAATGTGGATGTGTACTGTCCTGCTAGGACTTCTAGAGACACAGATCTTCATCTGCTCTATTTCCTCACTCACAGCCGACCAACCATTTTCCTTTGTGCGGAACTAACACAACATACTGTCTCAACAAAATTACTATACCAAGCATAAATCTTTGTTGAAATGCATATAAAATGTTTTATGAACTTCAGTGGCAACAAAAAAGTTCTGCTTGCTTATCATCAGTAAAACTCCCACTTCATTTTGTATTACTGAAGAGTTATGACTAATAGAAAGCGAACATTAACATTTTCATCGTCTAATAAATACTCTTTTACATGTGATAGAAATTCTGTTCCGATCACCCTGTACATTTACAGCAGGCCATAATCTGAGAAACTTTAGTCTGAAGATGGCCGTCTTCTGGCTTGTTGCACCGCGTAGTCTGGCAGAAGTTTACCAACGTTTCAGAGATTGTTGCTGCCTCCATCATCAGGGCTTCTCACTTCTACCAGACTACATGGCGCAACAACCCAGGTGACAGCCGTTTTCGGACTCACCGCCGTGAAAACGTCAAATCAAACTTTAGTCTCATTAAAATATTCAGTGCTGCTTTTTTTTTCTGGCTCTGGCATGTAATGTTCCGCCCATATCTCACCTTTTCTATTTCCCTCTGTTTTATGGATTCACTTGGAGCAGACAGCTCCACACAAACAAAATCATGTGACATTATAGAATAAAATTAACTGAAGGTTAAGAAGCAGTATTTCTTTTACAGAATCAATCCAGTTTCTTGACTGCCAGACCTCACAGCCTCTAAAGAACTCCAATATTTCATCTCCTTTTTCTTCTAGTCACAAAGTTAGGCCAATGGACGACTTCTTTCAACCTCAAGATTTTAACTGACTAGTAGTCTCTTGGTTAATTGTCCAGGTCTTCCATTTTCCAACAGGTTTGTAGTCGAGAAGTTGTTCTGGGTGTCTGATTTTTTTTTCCAGTCTAACATTAAACAGTTTTGTTTAAACTGCAAAATTATCTATTTTTTATTAGGCCCATATCACGTTCTTCTAAAATATAATAAAACTTTATTCTGTTATGCATCTCATGAATTTCATCTCTGCAGTTCTCATATACCTTTGTTTAAATGTCCACATTTCACAGCCACATAAGTGATATGATGGCTAAAATATTATATAATTTCAGTTGAGATTATCTTAAACTAAATGTGATTTAAAATTATTCATTGTCTGGACTTTTTCCATCATCCTTGTTTAAAAGAAGCAACCATGACGTTTCGGAACCTTGATGGATGGAGACTAGCTCTATCTGATGGACCCAACTGAGTAGGTACCTCTCGCCAGATGGAAGCAGGGCCAGTTTCCAAAACATCGCAGTTTCTTCTTTAAATCCCGCTGCTTTTGATTTTAGTGGACAGACCAGACCATTTAGTAGGCATATGATGCTCCTATAAATAATTTTGAGTCAGGCAGCAGTATGTTAATATTTATTTTCAATTCCAATTGAATATATCTGGGTGAGATTTCAGGTTCTCATGGTAATAAGTAACAGGATGGTCATCTTCTGAGGTCATCTACCAGACTACAACAGCATAACATCCCAGAAGACACATCTTCTCAATACATATGGTTGAAATAAATAAAAGTTTTGACTTGTTTTTGTTTTTATTTGTTACAGTATGTAATAATTCAATTGATATATTTTCTTCTTCCAGCATATTGAATAAAATGTCCCTTTTTCCCCTTTTCTGTCAAAGGTATTTTCATTATTTATAAATTCATAAATGCAAAATCTGTCTCTAAAATTAAATTCCTGCCTTGGTCCATGCAAGAACAACCTTTTATAAAATCATGTTGGTATTCAAATAAAAAATTTTCACTATACAGTTTTAATTTAATTTCTTATTTTTCTGAAGACCTTGTAATTCAAGTATTTAATAACTCAGTTCACCTGCGGTGTTTTTATTTTGTCTGTCCTTAAATATTGGGACAGCAGTACTTATTTTCAATTGCTGTGGTATTTTAACTGTTTTGTGTTATTAAAAATTTTCAGTAATCTATGTGAAATAATTCCACAGTCCACAAATCTGCATTCCCGGAATTAGGCTACACTGAGGTTATACTGTATTTGAAAATTTTTCCATTATACTTTTTAAATGCACTGAACTGATTTCTTTGATCAAGAAGAAAATGAATGTAAATTGAAAGTGTGGGAACAGTCAGACATGTGAACTCAACTGGCAAAAGCTTTCTAAATGTTTTAGTGAGTAATAATGAGAAACGAACATTATCATAAAACTGTTTAGGCAACCATTTCTCGATGACTAATGCATTTACAGGTCGCAGAGTTGAACAGTGTATAAGTTTTGTAATACAACTGATCACATGATGACCCATAATTTTTTTTTGTTTTTCCAGACAGACGACAAGGGAGTTTTTGCTACTTCCCTCTCTGAAGAATACGTGCTTGCGGCAAATAGCTATGACTTGTCCAAAGAACAGCTGTGGAAAATGACTATGTCTAGTATAGATTATACATTTGCTTCCGAAGAGGAAAAGAATCGCTTGAAACAAATGTTTATGCAGATCAAAGAATTGTCTGATGTTCAATAAACCTTGCACACACATGACATTGTGTGAGATTTCTTCATGTATTTTCATCACACATCATTGATGGAGTAATTTAACTGAGGAAAATAATTAAAAAAGTAGTCGCATGCTTTTCTTCATTTATGCTATTCTATAATTTTTTTTACATATATATATTTTTATATATATTATATATTAACATTTTGGCACCACAATTAATGAAAATTCAGTAAATAATACTTTTAAAATGATGTAAACCTCATATGAAATATTCCTGTTTGATTACATTACTGGTATATTCCATCTTTCATTTGTGACTAATGTACAAAATTCTGACTTACAAAACAGCACCACTTAAAAATTAAAATTAAAAAAAATATATTAAATTATTTCTATAAATACTGTTATACTATATAAGGACACTGAATTCCTACCACTGATCACAACGGGTATTAAAACAAATGTGTATAACAGACAATTTCATAAAATGTTTGGTAAAATATTTGCAAATGCGGTGCACTCCCATATATTTTACCCATGGGTCAGCATGTTTGTTTTGGACCCTCCTGTCATATTACATACTATTTTGTATAAATAAAAGCTTCACAATTACAGACAGCCTGTCCCCAACTTGTTACCAGAATGTGGTATAGGCCTCCACAGAACAGGAATGCTGCTTCAGATGGATAAAATCACTTTTAATTCATCTTCTTCTTTATTACGCCATCTCCTTTACAGGAGGTTCGTGACATATTATGAACAGGATCCTTCCATCCTTTTCTCGGACTGGGACCTGTTCATATACGTTCTTGGCAGGTGATCCAGAAGTGGTTTGCCATTGCCTTCTTCTGTGTGTGAATGGAGTAATTGTTGGGATGCCACGGAGGAAAACTCCGTGTTGCCTAGACCACGGCCTTGCCCAACACAAGTTATAAATTCAGGCACCGCCGGGAATCGAACCCAGGATTACAAGGCCAGCATTCTAACCACTAGACCACCATAGCGGTACTTCTTTTTAATTCATACATCACATAAAATAACTGCAATTAAATACAGGGCTTCTTTAATTCATTAAGCCATTTCAGTTGTGCATAAATTAAAATCCAGTTCTCAAGAATTTTTCATTAAAAGATTAAATAAACATGAGAAATCCATTCTTCAAGGAATATGTTCAATCAGTAAAATTCTGAAATATGGCAGGTTTCTGATTAGGATTTGAGTTTATATGGTGGTGAGTATGAAGATGGTTAGCTTCTGGGTTGAAGCACCATGTACTTGGGTTTACCAGTGTTTTAAGAGGTCCTCCACGATGGAAGCGGCAAGGATCTCTGAAATGTTGGTAAACTTCTATCAGACTACATGGTGCTACAACCCAGAATACAGCCATCTAGGTTCTTCATGTCCCCACTTAATGGTACCTGCACCTTGTTGTGGTGGTGGGGCTTGAGTACCTCAGAGCTACTGGTAGGGCCTCCCTAGCCAGATTGGTCAAGGGGGAGAGGTCAGACTAAGACAGGTACCCTGGTCCTGCAGGTTGGGGGTTGGTCGCAAGGCTAACAACCTTGCACTGTAAAGAGGAAGACGTTTCGAAACCTCGATCAAAGCCTCGAACAGACGGACCTAACAGAGGACCGAATGGAAGAGGAGAATTGAGGAGGCCACGGACCGAATATGGACCGGAGAGCCATAGATGGAGAAGGTTCCTGATGTTCACAGATGAGGGTCTGCTTTGGCACCTTTATCACCCATGTGACTAATGTGTTGGGACACTCCATAAACAAAATGTTCACTGCTAATCCTCACACAACCGGAAGTGGTAATTGGGAAGAAGCCGTACAGAAATAAACCTGTGCATTCTCTGATACCATATTCCAGAATTTCAGAGTTTGAATGTGACATGTTGTAATGTAATGGGAGGAATATTGATGCGTTCATTGTAAAATATCAATTTCTCATGTTACTTCATGTTTTAATATCTAATTAATGGGATACGAATGCATTAATTTCATGTTATGTGCAATATAAATAATTTACAAAGATGTAAGATACAAATAGCAGCATCTCTATTCTGTACTCAAATAGTTTCAGTAACACTTCTGTATCAAGTAAAATGGAGTCAAACTACACACACAACCCACGTAGATTATCTTACTACACATTAGCTAGATACTGTTTTATCATTATTTAACATATGTAGAAATTTTTAAAAACAAACCTTGGTTGTTTCCTGGCCCCAGCATTTTGATGTATAGATAGATCATAGACATTTCAGGGTGAGTAATTACGCCGGCGTTTAAAGACGATGGTGAATATGGAACGCAACCTGCGCCACCGACTATGTTTATGAAGTTTGTTGTTGGTGTGGTGATGTTCGTGTTCCTTTAGACGGATCTCACGTACAAGAGTGTGAAAGGCGTCATCCACATACTGTCTTACTGCCGCGGACGTCTCGTAGAATGGGCAGCCGAATTGTGATGCCAGTGCTTGTCCCTCTTCTGGAGACACCTGGTCAGATTATCTTCTGTATTTATTAATAACCAATATTCCTGCCTTTCTTTGCAATCGCTTTCATTTTCGTAAGAAAGTAAAGATTAAAAAAAGATACTTTTTAACTTTTGTGTGTGTCAGAATCCATATGGGAATGAATTACAGGATTCAGAAAAGGGCAAAGTTCATTTTTGTCACTTATGGCATAAAAATTCAGAAAGACAGGAAGAAAATGCAGTTATTATAATCTGAAGATAAATGTAACAGTTTTGTATTTCAAATGCAATTTAGACATATTTGTTTTAGTGTGAGTTTGTCTGCAGGCAAAATTTTAAGGTTCTGAAGTCATGTCACTCCATTTCTAGGAACTTGTTATTGAACTTTATGTAAATGTTGGACATTCCATCTATCTTCCACCTGTTATTAAACAGTGCGAAGAAGCAGTTGTAACATACTCTAAAGTTACAAAAATTTACAGCCAGGATTTGAGTCAAACCCCTACTCAACAAATACACAATCGTCTTTATTTATTTTACGTGCATGTTAGCGAAATGTTTTTGCATGCTATTCTTCGGTGAATATATCTACTCAAAATTACTGTACTTATTTTCATTTTGCAACTTCAACAACTAGCTATCATCAAAAGATACAGAAAAGTTTTCTAATATATACCTTTCTTTGATGCTGAAGATCAAATTTGTTTCCGACAAGGACTAAAGGTATGTCTTCAGAAGCCCGGACCCGCGTGATTAATTTTCGATACTCCACGGCTTCTTGAAAGCTATGCCTGTCAGTAACAGAATAGCAAATCATGAAGCCTTCTCCACATCGCATGTACTGGTCTCTCATGGCAGTAAATTCCACCTGGAACCATCAGAAATGGCACGTACACAACAGTTCACACTAACATTTTAAAATTTGTTTCTTACGTTAACAAAATTGGTTAAAATATAGTTGTTCTCACTGAAGCACCAGCACAATGACAGCTCATGAGGTCATAAAGTTGCCATGTTTTTCCAAAATAAACTAAACATTCTTTTCCTCTAGCCTCTGCGTCCAGACCGGCTTTGGGGCCCACCCAGCCTCCTGTCCAATGGTTACCGGGGTGCATTCCCCGGGGGTAAAACGCCGCCAGGGCGTGACGCTGACCACTCACCCCCATCTAGTGCCGAGGTCAAGAAAAAGTAGGAGCTATACCTCCATTCCCCCCAAACGACCTACATGGTGTGTACCGGGACAGCTTTACTTTACTTTTACTAAACATTCTAACAAAACCTTCACACATTATAGTAAAAGATTTGAGGGGAAAGAGGGAGAGAAAGAAAGTTTTACATATATTCAAAAGAAGCATGTCAATTTCGAAGGGTCCTGACGATGATATGTTACACTCAGGATTACTAAATTCTTGGACTTTATCCATTGTCTGGTCTTACTATAAAAATTTGTGATTAGTCGTTGTCTTCAACCAATTTGTCTTTAAAAAATGACGTCATCAACAATGCCAACAGATATTTGTTTACTCGGCATTGTTGTGTCAACTTCAACAATGCCAACATATATTTGTTTACACGGCATTGTTGTTCCACAACAATGCCGAGTAAACAAATATCTGTTGGCATTGTTGATGACGTCATTTTTTAAAGACAAATTGGTTGAAGACAACGACTAATCACAAATTTTTATAGTAAGACCAGACAATGGATAAAGTCCAAGAATTTAGTAATCCTGAGTGTAACATATCATCGTCAGGACCCTTCGAAATTGACATGCTTCTTTTGAATATATGTAAAACTTTCTTTCTCTCCCTCTTTCCCCTCAAATCTTTTACTATAATGTGTGAAGGTTTTGTTAGAATGTTTAGTAAAAGTAAAGTAAAGCTGTCCCGGTACACACCATGTAGGTCGTTTGGGGGGAATGGAGGTATAGCTCCTACTTTTTCTTGACCTCGGCACTAGATGGGGGTGAGTGGTCAGCGTCACGCCCTGGCGGCGTTTTACCCCCGGGGAATGCACCCCGGTAACCATTGGACAGGAGGCTGGGTGGGCCCCAAAGCCGGTCTGGACGCAGAGGCTAGAGGAAAAGAATGTTTAGTTTATTTTGGAAAAACATGGCAACTTTATGACCTCATGAGCTGTCATTGTGCTGGTGCTTCAGTGAGAACAACTATATTTTAACCAATTTTGTTAACGTAAGAAACAAATTTTAAAATGTTAGTGTGAACTGTTGTGTACGTGCCATTTCTGATGGTTCCAGGTGGAATTTACTGCCATGAGAGACCAGTACATGCGATGTGGAGAAGGCTTCATGATTTGCTATTCTGTTACTGACAGGCATAGCTTTCAAGAAGCCGTGGAGTATCGAAAATTAATCACGCGGGTCCGGGCTTCTGAAGACATACCTTTAGTCCTTGTCGGAAACAAATTTGATCTTCAGCATCAAAGAAAGGTATATATTAGAAAACTTTTCTGTATCTTTTGATGATCAATTGTTTTAACCCTCAATTCGGGGCGGTTAGATTAGTTTCTTACACAAGGTTGGTGGCGTTTTACAAACTTGACCAACCCTCCCTAGGAGCTCCGAGAGGAGCGCCCTGCTCTAGTAATCAAAAGAACGTGATGTTTTGAAAACTGGATCTGTGTCTGTCTTCAGGCAAAAAGGGAAGGGGCACCTACTCAGCTAGGTCCATTAGAAAGAGAACACATCCAGTTCCCAAAACATTGCATTCTTCTGAATATCAGATGATGGACAAAGTCCAAGAATTTAGTAATCCTGAGAAGTATTTGTGTTTGATATTAAAACATATATTGTTAGTTACTTTGATATTTGCACCTTGTCGTGGTGGTGGGGCTTGAGTACCTCCCTAGCCAGACTGATTGAGGGGGAGAGGTCAGACTAAGACAGGTACCCTGGTCCTACTGGTTGGGGGGTGGTCGCAAGGCTAACAACCTTGTACCGTAAAAAGGAAGATGTTTCGAAACCTCGATCAAAGCCTCGGACGGACGGACCTAACAGAGGACCGAATGGAAGAGGAGAATTGAAGAGGCCATGGACCGGAGAGCCATAGAAGAAGAAGATTGTTAGTTACTTTAATCACAGTTGGAACTAGTATTTAAATTCCCAGCAATGACAGCAGTGGCAAAAAAAAAAAAAATTACACTATTGCCAATTTATATTACATTGCACAAATGTTATTTTTATCTTCAATTAACAAAAGTTAGTACAATATCAATACCTGAGCATTTGCAAATATTAATATTTGTAATTTTAATTTTTGAAACTGAGACACGTGGCCCATGAATTCCTCAACACTGTCAATAAAAAGAGCAACAATATGCTTGCCTAAAAATCTGGAAATAACTATTAAAATGAGAAGTAAAGTAGAAATTCTCAAGACAAAGGACACAACTAAGCTCACAAAGACTGAAGCGGACACGGTGCACTTATTGATGTGTTCAACAGAATCCAAGCGTTTCATAACTGTATACCAACTGACATGAACAAAGGCAGGTGATGCAGAGAGAGAGAGAAATGTATCAGCTCATAAGGGCAGGTAACAGTAGATGCCAGCCACCATTATTCGTGTCAGCTGGTATAGTACATTCAGCCTTACTTGTCCAGCTGTGTCCAAAATATCCAACTGGGATGCTTCACCATCGATGACTGCTTGTTGCTGGTATGCATCCTCTACAATGAAGTGAAATAAAACAGTCTAATAATTTTATTGAAATACAGAGTTTCTTCTTTGGAGATATGCAATGGTACTTTTATTTCCATCTGACACAAAAACATATCATTTTTTATAAATTCTCCAAGCTGTATGTTGTATTGATTTTTATTTACTTTTCTAAAAACATTACATTTTTTTCTTTTTCTTAAAAGATTTTTCTTTTGTACAATTACTCCCCTCATAACTAAGTATAAGCACCTTCTTTATTGAAGAAACTGACTATTGAAACACATGTATAACCAGCAAAGTTAATTCTAATTTGATATTAAACAACATGTTTACCTTAATGAATGAAAACTTCAAGAATTGTGCTTTAGCTGATGTTCCAATATCCCATTTGTTGAACACAAGTTGTGTCTGTTACATTTCTCAAAATTATAGTTTTTTTTCAAATTCATTATTACATATATGATTTGAAGCTTTCACGGCGACATAACTCAATAAAATCTTCTCGGGCGATCAACATTATTTTCATCACAAGAGCAGATTAAATTCACAGAACACTTACAACCATTCAGTTCAGGATGTTTCAACTTACCACCTCCCATCTACAAATGTAACGATTAAAATACACAGAACTATAATTTTACCTGTTGTTTTGAAATTCTGTCTTTAACCATAAAGGTAGAATATAGACAAAGAATCTTTGAGAGCAGGGTGGGAATATTTGGCCTTAACAGAGAATAAATAAAGAGGAGGCTAAAGACAATAGTACAATGAAGATTTTTTCAATTTGTACTGTTCAACAAAAATCAAATTACACATGCACAGGAAAGATGAAAAATACATACAAAATTTTAGCTAGAAAACCTTATGAGAAGGTACACCTAACCTTAGATATGTGGATAATATTAAAACAGACTTTAAAGAAATAGTGTTTGAGTAAGTGAACTAGATTTAGTGAACGGAGATAGAGTCTAGAAGCAGTCTCTTATAACATGACAATGAACCTTTGAGTACCATTAAAGGCAGGGTTATTCAATACAGAGACATATACATACACAGTACAAAAACAGTTGTCATGAATTTTATAACTTGTTCTCTGACTTACCTATTGTTGGATCGTGGTAGTCTAAAAATCTGTGTTTCACGAACTGCAGCGTCAAAGCTGAAAACAAAATATTAATTAATTGGTGTTTATGTGAACACGTAACTACAGAACTGCTTTCCAATTCAAAATAATGAATGACAACACGTCCAAAATAATTCATTAAATGATTAAGTATTCACCTGACTTTCCAACACCACCATCTCCAAGTACGACAATTTTATATACCCGTAAACCACCACGGGTTTGACTAGGTACTGGCATATGCATTCCCTGAGACCCGCCCCGTCCGTCTCGGTCCGTTCCGCCGCAGTCGAACGCTCCCATTTTGGTGGGTCTTCGGCCAAGAGTTACAGATACACCACCGGACCCAGACGGGCCCGCTTGTACAGTCGCCAGCGCTGCTGTGCTCGCGGAATTTGTCGTCCAACTGTTCCCGACAATTATTCAACCACTTTCACCACACTCATTAAAACAATACTGGTAGGCATTTTCAACAACATACGTTAATTTATTTCTGTACATCAAAAGTGTAACTTTGTATTTACCCTAGACCATTCAGAAATGGCCTAGGGTTTGTATCGGTAAAAACGGAACCCCTCCCAGTTTCAACAGATAAAAAATACACCCCACTATCACCTACCCACACCCAACCGCAACCAGTAATTTGGCCACAGTTTTGACACATGAGCAAATAAATATCCAGCTACGTGCGCTACCTAGTGAACAATATCGTAATCGGAACTGTCAGAGAAACAGCTGACCGAGACTGTTGTGTACCAACGTTAGTTTCCAAATAATTTAAGTTTGCCCTCATGGCACTGTACGAAATCATAATCATCTGTAAGTATAAAATGTTAAAAATACAATTAAATTGCTGAATACAATTAAATTTAAAATGTTCTCCAACTGAAGAACATATATTTACGATTTTGAATGGATATTTAGGTTGGTCACAATGATCACTTGTGGACAGAAGAATAGTGTTTCCCGTGAGATATAGATTCGGTAATGCGTTGTTTGTGATGGTAGTATACTCTCATAACCTATTATTCTATAGCTGTATGTTTACGTGTTATGTTTCAGTAACAGTCAGTATTGATCGAATATTTACCTTTATCCACACCATGTAGACGGTTTAGTCAAGTTGCCGTTTCATCGACTTTGAGTTTTGTATTATAAACTTTCAGATTCTGTGCTGTAATGTCTTCTTTGGTGGATTATGGAAGCAGTGACGAAAGTGAAAATGATGAGAACAGTAAACCCGTTCTTGAATCTGGACTACCTGTTTTGAAGGAAATCGAGAAGAATCAGTACAACCGACCAGTAGGCGAGGATGAAAAGTACTCAAAATTATTTTTATCCCTTCCACCACCAAGTACAACCAGGACTGGTTTCATTTCTAACACAGATGATGATGGATTTATTGTAAACAGTCGCAAACATTTGCAAAAGAAACAACCTGTGAAGATTACAATACCTTCCTTGTCAGAGGTAAATGTAATATTCATTAATGTTTATGTTTTTAGTTCTCATTTATGTAAACATTAAGTGTCTTGTGTTTTTTGTAGTATGACATGAATATTGTATATATTTATATAATTATATGCCTTGCTTCCTAAGTAATCAATCCATGGAATGTGTATAATCTTTTAATTTAGCAGTCTTAGTTGTGATTTAAGGAACCTTCATACAATTGTACTGAAAGCAGAAGAGTAGCCTCTTTAACTCAAATAAAGACTGCTGTACATATTGAAAAGTTCAAATCCCATAACTAACCCAGCAAATTGCTTTGATGAAGCAAATGCACTCTAATATTAGCATTTGACCAAGCAAACTTTGGTATATGAGGTGAGAAAATGAACCATTAATATCTGGCTCATTAGATCAGATACCAGAAGCACAGTACATTCACATTTCCCCAACTTTATTAGGTCATGTGGACTAAACCACAAATAGTTCAAGGCATTCCTCAAATCTAAAGTGAATATGATGACATTATGTACTACACTGAAGTTTGCTGGCTTATCAAAGAAAGGTTCTGCAACATTTTCCTTACTGAGAAAGGACAACCAATATAACCTAACTAGAAGAGAGACAAAATAAAGAAAATGAAAACATTCGTTACAAAGATGGCTGTCTTCTGGATTGTAATGCCACACCAATGTTTCATAGGGAGATGAATGCTTTGATGATGGTGGCAGCAAGGCCCTCTGAAACGTTGGTAGACTTCTACCAGACTATAGGGGGCTACAACCAAGAAGACAGCTATCTTTGTACTCACTGATGTCCTGCTTAAAACATTAATTGCTTATACCACAGATGTGGTTATTGCTACTTGTAATAATTTCCCTATGTTGTGATATACCATGCATGCAGTGTTCTAATTCTGTCCTCTCTAGAGCTGCCCTCTACCAGTCTTGCTCATTGTTTGACAAGGTGCATTTTTTAAGTCTGGCACAAATATCTATGGCTGATGCTACAGCAGTCCTACTCTAGTAAATTAGAACTTCATTGTGCCCTTCTTTTTTCCAGTTTAAAGATGAAGAAATAGAACCTGCAAAGAAGAAACTCAAGCCCTCATTGGTAAGTCTTATTTACTTGGTCCAGTGACATACCTTCTTCTCCTTCAGTTTGGCCATAACCTTTTGAATCACCCTGTATAATATAAAGACTACTTGCTATGTTCTTCATTCCTTTCTCCCATTACTTCAAGTATGTGATCCCCAAATATTCTCTTCAGCACTTAATTCAAATTACTGTCTGTATATTATGTTATTAATATCAATGTATATAACATTCTATTACAGAAAGGTTCTGGTCTGTTTTCGATACTTCCTGCTCCAAAAAATGTATCTGTAAAGGAAATAAAACGTTCATTGGTACCTCATGTTTTGACAAAAAGATCAACAAGCATTACTCCTGCCTCTTCTGTATTCAAATCTGAAGCTGGTGACTCAGTTAAAAATGCATCAACATCTTTAACAAGTTATGCAGATTCTGAAGAAGAATCTGATGGAGAGGGCGATTTTTTCTCCTTGAAAATGGACCACGAAGCAATAAATAATGCTAACACAACAAAACAAGTGATTCCTGTTGTGGCAGACAGTTTTCTTGATACAAATGAAAGTGTTTCTGCTAGTAAGGAGGATACACTGAAGTTGAACGATGATGAACCACTGAAGTCGAACGATGATGAACCACTGAAGTCGAACTATGATGAACCACTTGCATTCAATTCTGAGTTCAGTCCATCACCGTGGGCAAGTGGCCCATCTCAGGATGGACATGAAGTATATGGGCACTGGCAGAATATGGAACCTGCAAAACAAACTGCATCTGGCAGTAATGATAACATCTCAGTGCAGCAGGAAGATCTGCAATTGAATGATGAGGCGGTAAGTTGCATTACCATAGAAATGTTCAATTTAAAATATTAAATGCCACTATTATAATTCTTCCATCTTAAGTGCCTTCTTAACACATCTACAGCCACCTTAACTAAGTAAATGGTTAACCTTAGGAATTATTTTTAGGGACGTTTGTGAGATACGGTTCATCAGATATTATGTTCTATTATATTTTAATTTTCTTCAAAGGAACCCTAAAAATGACCCATTGCATTATTGCATCTTGGTCATAGCACATTTGCACCATCGATTTATGAGGATTTACAGTACTATGTAATTACATAAAGATATAAAATAATTTTCCGTTGTTAGTAAACAATATATTTGATCTAACTGAAGCAGTCATTCATTTTTAAATTGCAAATGCCTTGTGTTAGAATAAAATTACTTTCAAATTTTACAAAACTTAGGTACAATAGAATACTGTCTTCATTGGTCCAAAAGTCCAGGATTTCTCGGCACATTGTGGTACTTTTAATCATGAATGACTTCAAAATGAATTATAAGAATCATCAATTTTATCTCCCATAATTTGTGGGTAAAACTCCAGACTCAGCACTAGATAGAGGTGAGTGGTCAGCTTCGTGCAGTGACTATTTTACGTCCACGGAAAAGTCCTTGATACCCTCTGGATAAGGGACTGGATGGGCTCCAGGGACCAACTGGATACAGTAGCAAAGGGAAAAGGTTTTTACCAGCAGCAAAAACAAAAGGCCACTATTAAGATTACTCTCTATTTTGAGTGTTATGCAGACTGCATTCTCACTTCTGGATGAATTTCAAGCATAAACTAGAATTCGAACATATGCAAATCATTTTAAATTTACTTCATTTTAATGGGATTTAATTTCTCCAGTTGCAGCGTCTTTGTGGCCGACGCGCAAAGAGACAACAGCAAGACATGCAACTGATTGAGGTTAGCGGGGATGCAATAATGCCAGACCCCAAGGAGTGGCTTACAAAACAACTGACACAGGAACAAGAGACTAAAAGTCATAGTCACAGGAAGAACGAAGGTCCTACAACACAGCAAAGACGAAAACACCAAATTACTTACCTTGCTTTCCAGGTATGGATAAAAATTGAGCTTAGAATATAGTGGCTTGGCGGGAAGTTGAATATTGTTTTGGTTGAGTAAAGTCTGGCTTTTCTACCATCTGGCAAGGATAACATTTTTCATTCAATCATACTCAAAGTTTCTGCAGCTGAATAACACATTTCACGTTTAATTCATTAGCAGAAATAGAAGAATTAAATATTTTAGCATTATTACTAATTATTACAAAATAATGATGGAACCAATCATTGGCATGAATTATCAGAACAGTTGTAGAACTTGTTTCTGTAATCATTTAATGTTATAAAGATTTACATGATAACATTGATTATAATATTGTTAATAGAGAAACTGTAGAAGCAGGAAGCATGAAAGACAAATTATATCTTCTGTGTTTTAGTTGTAAACAGTATCGTCAACTAAAAGGAAAATTGCACTAAACAAAAAATGAAAAATAAAAGCAGGCGACAAAGAGGTGTGAACAGCAACTGGATCCTCTTTTATAACCTTAGTGTAAAATCATTTAAATTATTGAATAAAAATTTACTTGGATATTATCCATCGTCTAGTAAATATAAAACGTTAAACAACGTTTCGGAGATGGGACTATCTCCGTCTTCAGGTTCCTACACAGTTGGGCCCACTAGATAGAGCTAATCCCTATCTCCGGACTTTTTCCTTGGGTATTATCCATCGTCTAGTAAATATAAAACGTTAAACGACGTTTCGGAGATGAGGCTCTATCTCCGTCTTCAGGTTCCTACACAGTTGGGCCCACTAGATAGAGCTACTCCGGAGATAGGGATTAGCTCTATCTAGTGGGCCCAACTGTGTAGGAACCTGAAGACGGAGATAGAGTCCCATCTCCGTAACGTCGTTTTACGTTTTATATCTACTAGACGATGGATAATATCCAAGTAAATTTTAATTCAATTGACTCTTCACCATCGTCAAGAAGTTTTAGATTTGATACATTTAAATTATGTTAGGCCAACTGAATAAAAACAGGAATTAAGGTTGAAGCAAAAATATAACCACATATGCTTTAATTTTAAAAAATTTAACTAGTCCATCTAAAACAGAACAGATGTCTTCCCTCAGTTGCAGACTACATAAGGCCTGTATTAGTTTCAGTTTCAAAAATAAGGGCAGGAAAATGTATATGTTACAAGGGGATGGCTGCCTTCTGGGATGTTGCACCGTGCAGTCTGGAAGACATTTACCAATGTCTCAGAGGAGGTTGGTGCTTCCATCATGACTTACCCATTACCCTGATGATGGAAATAGCAAGCACCTCAAAATTTTTGAAAAACTTCCAACAGGTTACACACCACAACATCCCAGATGGTTATCTTCATACTCACTGCCATGGGAACCTAAAATTCATCTTATACATTTATCTAAATTTTCATCTGCATAATACAGGACATAAAATAACTTCTACTGACGATACACTCTGTATTTGGAATCATATTTATATTTGTTGCACTTTTTAGTTTTTACCATGTTTGTTGGACACCACTTTTATAAAATTTTGTGATAACTTATAACATTGTAATTATTTTTTCAATATAATTTGATGTAAAAAGATTGACTTAAACCGTGCTTTCAATCCATACAGATACAAACAGTAGAAGTGTTTGGTGCACAAATAGCATTTTAATTTATCTGTGGTCTTTGTTCCAGGCAAAGGAGAATGAGCTGGAACTCAAGAACCAGTGGTCCCAAAATCGCATGTCTCGCAAACAGACGCAATCCAAATATGGTTTCTAGGAACTCGTGTATTTTGTATTTCCCGGTCCACCTTTTGGGCGTCTGAAGTTCCAAGGCGCTTGGTGTTGAGGCACGGACATTAGACTAGCAGTCAGTTCTTTTTGTTTCACAAGCTGAGTCTTAACTTGTTGGTCAGCATGTACATGTTTCTGTTTAAGCTGAGCCAATAATTCCTGTGCCTGTGCCAAATTTGGTGGAAGTCCATCGTACTTCTCAAGTTTTTGTCGTAGCATGGCACATTTGTTTTTCATCTGTGCAATGGCTTCCACTCTCTCCTGGATCACTCTGTGATGTACTGGAACACTCAGTGTCTGTAGTTCTGCCTGTGATGAAGTATCATACAAAGTGTTAGACAAAAGTAAATTGTATACCGGATTGACACAGCATTAAACAGAAAAGGAGTACCTTAAGTTTTTCTAACGTGTTCTTGTATTCTTCTATCTGATGTTGAAGAAACTGGGTTTCAACAACCTTCTGATTCACTTCTTCTTTGAAATCTTCCCTCTGTTTCCTTGCAGACTGAATATCTCTACAAAATAAAAAAGAATGTTTTACTACAGACTAATGAGAATATCACACGATTCCCTTTCCTGATTACACTATCAAATACTGTAAATTTAATAACTGTAACGTAAACTGACATGTTCATTTCAAAGAAGGCTACACTTGGATTGGGGGACTTTATTGTGATAATCAGTCCAACATTGGACAATAGTTACCAGATACTCATTGGACACCATGAGAATTGTACCAGCAGTGCTGCGATATTAAATTCTGGGGAAGGAATTTTAAGAGGATGAAAGCTTGGCAGTCATAAGCTTCAAACAGCAAGCCTGCAGCAGCAATTATACTGAAAAGCACATTTAAAGTTTCAAGGCCACTGAAGGACTTCACAACCCCCATCCCCTCTAAGTCAACAGTAGTGTTGCTAGGTTTTTTACGCCGTAAGTTCTGAACCGTCTTCATTCTTAAGCAAGTGGTAACATAATCCTGCATAATGTTACAGCGGTCTGAAGTAAGCGGTCCCACAAAACAATTCAATTTGCCTTCAGTCTGCCGTTTGTGTTCCAACATTGTACGATTCTGCTGTGACCTTAAAGCATGCTATTTAGTTGCAGGCATGGCTCACTACTGTAAATTAGGTATTATTAAAACAAGGCCTTTCCTGAACTTGTTAAATATTTTAAATTAAAATTAAAGAAGGGCGTGCAAATTATCCAAGGTCCGAATTACATGAGTCGGTTCATCTGATACATATCAGATTCAGAGGCATGACAGTAGGAATATGTATTATTGACCAAATTTCAGGTTTGGAAGACTGCTATATTTTCACTTCAGACTGTCAATGTAACTTCAAAAGAAAATTAAAAATCAACTTCTTAATTCCGTATACCAACCTTCTTAAATCCGCAACTCTTTGTTTCTCTGTCGACAGCTGCCGCAATTTATTTTGGAATTGCAATTTTCTTCTTGTAAGAGAAGACTCTTCCAGCACCATCCTTGTGTTCTGAAGGACTATGTTAGTTGGGGTTGGATCATTAATGTTCAAAGCCTACAACACACAGACCTCAACAAATATACAATGTAACAAGTTAATGTAATGCAATATACTGTAACACCCCTTCATATAATGAAATAAAGGGAAATTTTTTTAACGCTATTTAAAATTTATCTAATTCTTAATTAATTTTATAGTAACTGTCCAGCTCTGTGGAAGTGCAGTTACCTACAAGTGCACTCCTTTCATATACGAGTGTGCAATGGTGATGAAGGGAGGTGGGTGAAGTGGGTAATGGCCCAGGGCCTTGCCCCTGCAGGGGCTTCGGTGCCTCATACCTGTACTTGTATGTACTGGCAACAATAATGAAGGAATTCAGAATGTTTTCAATAAAAGCCTGTGGAGAGTGAATGACATTTTTTTTTTTTACAAAATATTGATGGTAGAGTGATTGTGTACTGTTCAGTCATATCAATCTCTTCCTAAATTTAAATACATGGAGTTTTCACTGTGTGTGTACAATACTTCTTACACAGTCTCTCGTTATTAACAAGATGTAAGAGGCAGATGCAGGATGCAAAGTCTCTCTTTCAACCTCAGCTTCACAAAGATCACCTTGTCCTAGAAAATAAGTTGCTAGTGACAGGCCTGTTGGCATTTGGTGTAAAGGAAATCCCACTACCAACATGTATATCAAGTTAGAATTAACATTTGGTTTTGTTTAATGTGTGAAGTGATATCTCCCCTAGTATTGTCAGGGTGATTAAGTCGAGAAAAATGAGATGGGCGGGGCACGTAGAGCGCATGGATGGGACAAGAGGTGTGCACCTGGTATTGGTTGGGAAGCCTGAGGTGAAGAGACCGCTGGGGAGACCTAGACGTAGATGGGAGGATAATGTCAGGCGGGATGTATGGGAGATAGGAGTCGAAGGAGACTGGATTTTGTTGGCCCAGGACAGGGTCCGGTGGAGGGCTTTGGTGAACTCGGTGATGAACCTTCCGGTTCGGTAAGCCATCTGGTTGGTTGGGTCCACTAGTTGGGAAGCCTGAGGGGAAGAGACCGCTGGGGAGACCTAGACGTAGATGGGAGGATAATGTCAGGCGGGATGTATGGGAGATAGGAGTCGAAGGAGACTGGATTTTGTTGGCCCAGGACAGGGTCCGGTGGAGGGCTTTGGTGAACTCGGTGATGAACCTTCAGGTTTGGTATGCCATCTAGTTAGTTAGTTAGTGAAATGGTATATAGGACTTTTCTTCTGTAGTAGTCTACTCAGGGTACAATGCTACTTTCAAGATCATTTAGGCAGGGGTCAACATTCTGATATCTTCCAGCATAGTTTGGGCCATGTGGAAGAGAAAATTCCAGCGATGATGTATTATGTATAGTGCTGTTTCTCTAGACTTCATCATCCAGAAGTTAGGATTAGCCTCTTTTGTTCGACCTACCAGAACAGGATTTTCACCTGAAGACGGAGCACAGTCAGCTCCTCAACTGTGGTGGTTTTGTTTTAGAATACTGAATGATGGACAAAGCCCAGAAAAACAGCAATATTCAACAATGGTACTTTTTCAACATTGCATATTTCACAATAGGCATGATTGCATGAGTGAAGCTTAGGACATCCACTACAGAGCATCCTACAAGGAACAACCACGAAAACAAGTACACCACAGACATCTCTAACCTGATTCTCTCCCTCTCTGATGAAGTTATTCTTACCTGCAAACAATCTGCTGTTTCGCATAGTACATGTTTAGCATTTCCAGAAAGGTCATCCGGCGTAATGAGTTTTTCCAAAATCCTTTGCATATGGAGAACTGCAAATTAAATAATTTACATACTCTACTAAATGATAATGAATAGCATATAGTATGATTATGCTCAGAACTTAAGTCTTTATAATTTGAGAGTTATCTTTAATAGAACATTCACTAGTCTGCTGATAAAAATAAGACTTGGTAATTTGAGGTTATTTTACCTATAGGTCGGCATGTAGTATTTATGGGAAGCAGAGAATAAATTATATAAACATTTTGAACAGTTAACATTCTAAAGTACTCTACCTGAAGATATATATTCTTCTCGCACTTGTGTCAGAACATTAATAACATGGTCAATGTCATTGTCACCATTGTTATTTTGTTTTTTGTGAATGGTCTGTAGTCCATACTCGGGAGTAAACTAAAAAAAATTACAAACAGAAGACATATAAGATGATTTATCTTTAAATTAATTATGTAGATAAAGTTTATACACCAGACTTTTATAACCTTCTACTACAGCATGGCCAACAGATTTAAAACCCCAGAAAATATATCAAGATTCCCCTTCCATCCCTGCTCTTGAGAAAAATATTTTCTCTCTCTGCTAACCCACACTTTCTGTCTTTTGCTGACTGTCACTTCTCAGTTGCATTTTTTCAAAATTTACACAAAAAGTGACTTGTATGGAAGACAGTATATTATGGAAAAGAAACAATACTGCAAAACTGAGAACATGTCAATTTTGCAATAAACAGGAGGGAAAGATTCTTCAACCTGCAAAAACAAACAGCACTCTATCACCTTTTGTTGGTCTCTTCGTAAACCACACTCAGCTACTGATCACAGCGACACCAAGAGGTCTTGTAAGTGATTACCAACATTTTAGAGGAACATATCACCTCCACCTTTAAGATAAGTCCCCTTTCTCAGCACATCAGGCTAACAGTAAGATTATAGGGGCTTAATTCAAAATGTGAGTACATTCTGGCTATGGCACATAAATTTCAACAGGCCTTTTGCAGTAATTTCCTTACAAAATAAGGGAAGTAGGCAAGGTCATATTCTACTAGCCTTCAGGCAGTAATTAAACAACAATGCTGATTTTGTATAAGAAAGTAGTGATAATGGTCTATAACGAAACAATATTTCAGGGCATGCAATGAGAAGCTGAAGGAAAATTAATAAAAGCACAACCATGGTAGCCAGCTTGAAGAATTACTGGAAGAAATATTGGTTCCATCACACTTCCAATTTGTGGACTATCTACGCAAATTCAAGCCTGATACTGGCTACTCTCAGATTTTCCATTTCTTCCTCAGACCCTACAGGTTAATAATATGATTACAAAAGGGAGAAAACCATACATTACTGATACATATATACTTCAATCAGTCCATGCACTGTTTTTTCCTTACTGGTACCAAAGTGTGCTGAGGGTGGGGTCAATTCTAAAATGTCTCCCCTCCTTCCCTACTGATTAACTGACAGAATCATCCAGTCTGTCAATTACCCTCTTTGTTTACGTGTCATTGCCCTTTAAAGACCTGATAACCAAGTCCCATGCTAAGCTCAGTTTGAAGCCTTCTTTAATTAATATATGGAGGAAGATTCATTGAACAGAATGAACTGTTCAAGTGTAAGGATGTAATTCTTGTAATAGTTTGCAGAAAATACCAATTTGGTTTCTTCTTGAACCATTTACTTAATGGAACTAGGAACTACATAAACTACATGGGTGATTTTTATAAATGACAAGTTGATAAGGAAGTAAATGGAAAAGACAGATGTCTATTTCGTTGTCACCCTATTCTTCCCACCTATTATTACTGGCTATAAATATTTGGCAACACAAATGTGTATGTGTAACTTGGAAATTGTCTGCTATTGATATTTTCACAACAGTGACGATAAATTAAAAGGTGTACAACATTTAATAAATGACAATAAAACGCAGTAATTGTGAAAGTTGGGATGTCATATTCGAACATTATTACTTGTATGCGTTATGTTCAATTTCTCTGCCATATACCGTATAATATTAACCAGCAAACCCATTATATATCAATTGCAGTTCAATGACAGAAAGAGCATTTCTCTTTATTTATAGACATTCCATAACAGACGTCAGTTCAGACCGTATAATTTCCACGACATATGGCAGGATAGAAAGAACTTCGCAATCGTCGAACTACATCGTCACAGCCATTGATAACCTCAAATCCCGCATGTCTGTAATCGTGGTTTGTGCATATACTACAAAATATAATGACAAAATACGCAGTTCTACCAATACAGACCCACACGACAACATATTACAAAATATTAGTTACTTCTTATATAAAGACAAGAATACAATACCTGTGAAAATCCCGCCATTTCAGTACTAATGCTCTTACCACAGAATAAATTCAACAACGTCTACGAAATAACTGCAGGAATAGTAGACACCTACGGTTCCACAGATAGTTAGGGGTTACTTTGGAATTCACCTATACGAATAACTGCAAATACCAAAGACTGTACGTCACAGTTAAAAAAATATATATATATAAATCATCCTTACCTCTTTGAATAAAGCAAAGACTTAATTCTTTTTAAATAACAAAATGTTGTATTATCAATTTACTGTTAAAACGCGTAATTTTCGCCACATACGAACTACAACTTTGTCAGTTTGCATCGCTTTATTGTGACGGTACGAGCAGAGTAGAGTAGAGTTTATTTATATGCCATAGATCCTTCTTAGGACTAAACCAAAGGATGTAGAACATATCATTCATACAATATATTTAAACTTCAGAAATTTCGACACAAGTACAAGAACGTATTTCACACATCAATATACATAAACTTCAGATTCTGCAATACAAGTATGAAAAATAATTTTACAAATTACTATACACCAACCTCAGAATTTTAAATAGAAATACAAAACTTACTTTACGTATAGATTATAGATATACATAAAGCTTAATAATTTTCAGCAGAGATGAAATCATCATGGTGTCGTAGGAATGAGATTAATATTCGGAAATGAATTAGGA